GGGATTTATTGGAGCCCCAAACCAGCCTATCAGGACAAAGATTCCGGTTTTGGAAATTGGCATCTTCTAAAGACAGTTCAAGACTAGCTCCTAACCACGGAGGGGAAGGGATGGGGAGACTCGCAGGTAATTTGCCAACAGCACAGGAGGAGCTGCCGTGACCAAGCACCTCCGCTCCAGTAGAAGCCAAACCCCCAGCGACCTCAGCTGCTGGTGTGACAGCAGCCATCAGTTACAGGGACAATTCAGATCCCAGTTTAAGGACAGCATAAGGCACTTAGTGCTGAAACTTAACACAGTGCGTTCACTACAACCAGCTGGAGCTCTCTGCATTCAGCAGCAAGCAGGATACACTGCATGCAACAAATACAAACACACCCCACTTCATGTTTATTGATTTACTTAATAAACAGCTACATATCAAAACACTAAGGGCTTGCAAAACAAATTATCTCTTCCTCCTCTCTGCTGAGCAGCCATATAACATTTGGATTATGTCAAACAGATAATCACCTCTGGATTCTCTAGCAGATACAATGCTAAAGATGCAAAAAGAATTTTAGATGCTTTGGATGAAAGGTCATATCACCCATGGTTATTTTCACCCAGAACAACCAAAACATGCTGAATTCAGAGAGCGATGCATGATTTTATAGGGGAAGTATATAGCTGAAATTGGTCTGTATTTGTTCAATAGCAAAATTATGTTAACAGTTTAAAAGTAGTTTACCATTTTTAATTGTTTCTGCTGAAGACTTTTGTATGACAGATAAGTCACTTTAAAATGCAACTCTAAAAAAAATTTTAATATTTGTTTATATTACCTTTGCTTTTCAATACAGACCTTAACTGTAGTAAATCCCATAAAGATTTTAGTATCTTATTCTAGGGTTTGTAAACAGCGCATGGGATATGCAACATTTAGCTCAAAGAGAAAATTCTCATTATGCTTTCAACATTATTTGCCTTCAAAGCAAAAATCAGAGGACTGACACATACTACATAACTAACAAGACATGCAGATGTGGCATTTATGGACACTATTAATGGTGGACTTGGCAGGGCTGAATTAACATTGGACTCGATGTTCTTAAAGGTCTTTTCCAACCTAAACAATTCTGTGGTTCTATAACATAAGCTAATTAAAATCTTAGTTCAAGCTCATTGGCAGGACTACTCAGGCTACCTAAAAATTCCCATAAAGTCCAATTAGAAGGCAACCTCTAATGACTATATCTATTTTAATCCAAAAGTAAAAGCAAAAATCAAATGAACCATATGCTCATGAAAGCTGTAACAGTGACATATTGGTTTTACTAAGAAGAATGACAGTACAAAGAATTGTAAAAAAGTTTGGAAAAAAAAATTCAACTTCGGTTTCTTTCTCTGTTTCGGGGAGAAACTAGCTGCAAATGTTTCTCCAACTGCAAACATTCTATCACTGTGCAGCTACTCAAAACCAGAGTGTTTGGTTCAGTCCATTTGCACAATTCTTTTTTGTTTTGATTTTAAAGAATGGTGGTAGACTCAGTGTACCTTAACAAACTTAATCTACTGAAATTTCCTTTCAGGACTAATCTACACATTGCATGCAGACTTTGGAGTAAAAAGTGTCTTACTAAGCCAAGTTAACTAGTAATTTTTTGTGTGTGTTTCATATTAATTGAGATAAATTATTAATTTGATTATACTATTCCTGAAGAGAAATAACAGTTGTGGTTCTACTTTGAAATGAACTGCTCTGAGGATTTTCATTTACAGAAAGTAAATTTTATAACTGCATTGTAAATAAAATATATAAATATGTATAAATATAATATACATATACTATTTATAAAAAATATATATTATATTTATAAAATATAGAAATATGTAAATAAATATAGTTTAACACTGACGGCTACTACTTACAATTTAACATTCTTTACTGACTGGAATAAGTACATTACAAAGAAGAAATATAAATTAAACAAATATGCATATGCATTTTAAATAGATATATATATATATATCAAATACTACTCAAAGTGAGTTTATTTTTTAAAAAACATTGGGCTTTTTAATGTCCTGCCAAGAAGATGCACACAGCTGTAACTCTTTTTATGTACATAAAAATTGGTTAAACCACAAAAAACCACCTCTGGCCTATTACATGAGATCCTTCCCTGAAGAGCATGAAGATTTCATGTTAATAGATCTATACCAAAGAACAACTCTTTTGCTTTACTCTTGAGGAGTTTAAGTTGACTGTAGCTGCCCACAGAAGCTAAAGACATAAGGAGCCAGACAGTGGTTTTGTGGCCACAGCCACATTTTCAGGTTGTATGTGTTTGCGTACGTGCACAAACATGTGAGCAAACACAAACACACCACGAGTGGAGCAGGATCTGTGGGATCCAGTCTCCCTACAGTTTGCTGCCTCAGGTAGAACTGCTCTCTGGAAAGGCAGAGTATAAACTGATAGATTACTTACTGTAATTTTTATATGCCCCAGTAGCACTGACACTAAACATTAGGAGAGTTGATCCCTATCCTCCTGCTATCAGTATCCCTTCACTAACTACACACTCACAGAGCAAAATTTCCCATTCTGGTCTCTCTATTTCCCTTCTTCAAAGGCTCCTCATTCTGCTGTTTTATTTCTGCATTTGCTTTTCACTTATTTCAACAACCCCTTCACTTTTTCATCATTCTTCACCTCCTGTTTAATGGCATTGTGTTTTTAATCATAAGCAAAAGCATGGCCTAAAATAGTTGCTTCAAGCAAAATACATTTCTAAGCTTATAAATATCTAATATAAATACAGCCCCAGAGTAGACTTCTGGATATAAACATGCTGCTATCACTGTTCTCCTTTATGTCTCTCCAGGTTTTTTTTAGTCTTCTTACCACGTAAGCTCTTGTGTTTCAGGGATGCTGTCACCCTACTGGTCTGCACAGGTCTCTCATCCCCAAACTGCTCAACTGCTGTGCTGTGTCCAATGCCCTGATGAACTACAACACCGGGACAACACACAGGGAACTGGATTTTCCCACCATGTGCTCATCAGGTTGTAACAATCCAGAAACATTTTTCTCTATAATAAAATACATATCTGTACATATACAATTTGTTGTATAAAATACGTATTAACAAAGACCTGAAGCCGTACCTAATGTTTGAAAATGTAAGAAATGTGGTGAAATCAGAGATCCCAAATTGGTTACAACTGAAGTCGTGTATAGCCAATGTAAGCAAGAGCATTCACAGCAGAAGCTGTTGCTGTTTTCCAATATCCAAAATGTTTTACTAACCATATACAAAGAAAAGCCATTTGTTTCTCTTTTAAATTGAAATAGACTTGTTAGGATAGACTGGCATACAATTTTAATCCTCCCAGTCTAATGGAATCTCCTCATAATGCAACCATTTGCTCAAGGTTTCTGTCTCTATTTATGTATTCTCAAAGATCATCAAAACTCACAGTAACTTCCACTTGAATTCCCCAGATGAAAGTGTTCTGGTTTAATTTTCCTTTCCAAATGGCTTAAACAAGTGAAATGCACCCTCTGTTGGGCTAGCTGTGCAATGACTCTTTTCCAAGGTCATCAAATTTTTAACAGCATAGCTTATCAAATCCTAATGAAGGTTTGGTTTTATCATTAAGTGTCAACTAATGTACAAATCATACAAACATTTGAATCAATATTATACTGGAACAAAACCAAAGCAATGCAGAATATTCATTGCCACTATATAGCCATTAGGAGATTTATGATCTTTCCCAAACACTGCTTACATCTATAAATCTTTCTGGTGAGCACTGGAAATTCATTTCTTGTAACCTAACCCAAGCAAATATCTCTACTTATTTCAGCAGCAAAGCTCAATTAACACTCATCTCCACTGAAATTCACTTTTTTTTTTTTTTTTTTTTTTTCTTTTGAGCTAGACATGGATTGCTAGCTGGTGTATTAAAAAAACTACACACAGAAGCTCTGGAGTGAATTTTGGATAAGGATGCTACAGAAAAATCCCAGTATGATAGGGGAATTATTTTGCCTGTTTTCTTTTATTAGGACATTTCTAGGTAAGGATGGAATTCATTGAGGTAAAACTGGCCAGTGTATCAGAACAGAAAATGGCAAAAGGTAACATCTTAAACCTAAATATGCTGAAATCTATACCCAGGTGAAAAAACCTAAACTGCTCAGATGAGCAAAGTCAATGTGGGCTGGTAGGTGAACAGGAGTATGTAGGTAGGTAGGAGTCTAAAACTCACACCACTGTGAAGATGAAAGTTGTGTAATACATGGACATCAAATAGAGACAATATGCAGTTTCTCAAAAACAGAAAGGCATATGGATTACAGAAGGTAACAAGATAGTGAAGAGAGGTGAAGAGGGAACTGGGGTGCAGGAACTGGGAGCTGAGATGCAAAATTCCTAACGTTTGCAAGCTGATGAAAAGGAAAAGGAAAAAAAAAGGAAAGCTTCTCTGAGCATAAGATCCCCATTTAAAACAGATAAAACAGATAAAATAGAGGCAGAACAGAATGCTGTGAAACAAACCTCCTCTAAGGTCTGCACTTAACCAGTCCCTTTCACTATGATGTTTAATAAAATGGCATTGTGGTAAAATACTTATAATAGAAAGAAAGCAATCTTCCTACCTTGAATGTATTCAGCTGCTGATTAATAGCCTCTGTTTCCATTCCAACAGGACCTTGTGACTCTTCATGTTCTTCAGCTCTCCCAAGCAGAGTGGAAAATTCTTTTAGTTTACTGTAAAACTCCTCAACACGGCAAATGGTACCCTCCACCTGATCTTCCCTGGCTTTTGCTCTGTCTAGTAGCTTGTTGCACTGTTTATTTAGAGCTTCCAAGTCTCTCTTTATACCAACAAGATCAGGAGAAGCTTCAGCTTCTGTGGCTAGCATAATTTTACAGTTTTTATTAGCATTTTCATTATTCACTATAAGATCCTCCAACTTTTTCATGAAACATTTTATGTCCTCTCTCTGAGATTGCAGTACCTTGAGATCTCTCCCCACTGGAGCCATGCTATCAAGCTCATCATCAAACTCTGCAAACTGAGAGAACATCTCTCGGATGCTGTTTTGGAAATGGCCAATTCCCTGAAGTTTGGTCTCTAGGAATGAGCACCTATCCTCAACTTGCTGCTTCACTGCAGTGTATTCTTGCTCCAAAGATTCGGCTTGGAGTAAGAGGTCAGAAACGCCTGTTGAATCAGAAGCCTCTACCACCAGGTCTTGGGCAAGCTTTTTTGCTAAATCAACGTGAGGCTTTAAAGCTTGCAAGGCTTTCTGCTGGGCCTGCATCATTGTCAGGTGTTTGTTACTGAATGACTGAGGTCCAAGTGAGTCATGAGCTTCCAGATGCTCTTTGGCACTTTTAAGCTGTCTTTCAGTTTCTCTGGATGAGTCCTGAAACTCTTTCAGTCTTTGTGCCATGTTTTCCAAGCACTCTCTCTTTTTATGTAACTGTTCTGTAACCACTTTCACATTCTGATTCAGCGCCTTAGTTTGTTCTTGTACAATTTCTTTATCTGTTTGACTTGCACTGAGCAAACTTTCAGCAGAATTATTTAATAGTTCCACCATCCCATGGTGTTTATCCAGGTCCTTCTGCCACGCCCTTACCTGAACAATAGAATCCTCTATTTCAACAGGGTTTATGCCAACTTTTAATTCACACAGGTTGCTTTGGCATTTCTCTATCCATGGCTGCAGATTTTCTACATGGTGCTTATATTTGAGGGCTTTCTCCAGACAATCTGCCAATTTATCTTCCCTTTCTTTTACCTGTTTATTCATTTCATCCCAGTTACTCTTGAGTGTGGCAATTTGGGATTGTAATTCTGCTTTGTCATCTCCTTGAGTCTTCTGTAAAATACTTTCTCCTTCTGCAACAATTCTTTCATATGAACCAATCTGATCAGTCATTGTCTTCTTAAAATCTTTCTGTTCTTCAATTAGTGATTGCAAAGCATCAAGTTTGGCTGACACAGGATGAGCCTGGTTCAGCTCTTCTTTCTTTTTGCTTAGCCAGGCCTGAAAATCCTTAGACATTTGCTGGAACTGATGAGAAGAGGCATATGCTGACTGAAGCTGCTGAACATGGTTATCTACAAAGAAGAAGGTAGCACAGAGGTTCATTAGCACAACCTGCTAGTATTGAGTGAAAAAAAAATAATAACTAATATTGATTCTATTATGCATGATCATTAATTTAAGAAAAGCCAGTCCTTAGTATGTGGAGTTTGACTGGCAGGCAGCCAGGTTTCTTGCAAGGGGCAGACTCATTCCTGTAATACAGAAGAGCAGTGAAGGCATTAAGATATGAATCAAATGAGGTGAGCTTATCCAGTCTGTGTCTATATGGATCCCATTTGGGCAGATTTTGGTGGTAAAAAACACACAATCACGTTTCATGGTACTGTGAAGTGTAAGCACAAGGAATATTAAGTGCCTAACTCCCAGTAGTGCCTAACTCATGGCCTACAGGAAATACATGTTCCTGGGGAGATTCTCTGAAGTTCCTCGTGACCAGAGGAAATTAAAAACTCGAAACTGAGGCTGCTAGGGAGAACAAAGTATAATATCATTTGCAATGTGTTACTCGCTCAGTTCTGTTCTTCACAAGGTAAGGAAAGGCTGCAGACTGCCAGCCCCCTTCTGTCACAGGCAGTTTTATACAATTACCACTGTGTTTCACCAAGCCATTAACTGGTATTTGCCTAGAAATTATCATTTTGGCTTATACTCTGCCCTTATGAAGTTGGGTAACTCCATGAATAGCATCCTCTTTTGGAATTCTAATTCAGTGAAGATGCACCTGAAGGAACACATGACTAAACAGCCTTGCTATTTTACTCCAGGTTCTCTCCCGAACTATTCACAAGAAATCCCAAGCATTGTTCTTACCTTTTCGAGACATGGGGATTCTTCTAAATTTTAATGTACAACTGCTTGGGGTTGGACTGGATTGAGAGCCGGCACTAGGCTCACTTCACTCAACACCTCTATCACAAACTTTTGCCTTACTTTTGTTTTAGTTACTGTTTTTCTTTAAATAAATACCAACCTGATTTTTGCTCAATATCCTTAAATGATTTTAAGATGCCGTCTAACTGTCTTGTAAGTTCTGCTTTCAAATACTCTTCCCCAACCAGTGTTGACAGCTCTTCACAAAGAGCTTGTGCTGCATTTATATTCTTCATTTCCTGTTCTATTTCCTCCTTCATTTCTTTAGCAATTTCCAGCTGTTGTTTCACAGCATCAGGTTGTGTACTCACAGCCAGGCTGCTGCTGAGTTTACTATCCAAGGCACTTAGCTTATCAGACAGACTTCTGAGTAAGCTTTGATACTCTGTGCTTTTCACAATGGCTTGGTCAATTCGGTCACATCTCTTCTTCAGCTGGCTGGTGAGACTGTCCCACTTTTGTGCCACAGCTGCCAGTTGCTCTTTTACAGTTTCATGTGAGGGTGGATGTTCACCAGGTCTCTCCAGAATCCCCTGCCCAGCCATAGTTAACTGCTCATATTGTGGTTTTCTGGTGTCAAACTCTTTCAGCAGAATCTAGGAAAAAAAAAAAAAAAAAGAATGTTAAAAATAATTTACTTCACGAGAAGAAAAGTGTGCTTCTGACAAAAAAAAAGTCATGTAGAATTTGTTGTTCTATTATTGAGTGTATCCAAGTTTGAAAGGCAGTGAAATAAATGTGCCTTCTACATAAACTGTGTTGTTTCCAAGTATTTACATCAAAGAAACAGAAAAAAAAGTGGTGAATTTACACATAATCTAATAGAAATTCAACCAGGAGATACAAGTAAACAATGAATTCTGTTAATATTATAGTAATTGAGTCCACCAAGCAAAATAAGTGCTGTTTAGTTTAAAGTAACGTCTTCTTTCCTAGACAGATTTGATATTTGTCTTAAGAAAGAACTTCAAAGAAGATGTATTCTGACATAATATTTCAATGTTTTATTATTGAACAGAGACTATTTGGTTAATTCACAAGATGACTGAACGTGTAGTGTAAGACCTTTTAAATTAATATCACTGGTTCTCAATATTTTATTTTTTTTTACAGTAAGTCACAGTTCTTGCAAAAGAAGGGACAAATATAATGGTTTTACTTTACAGAACATTCCAAACCCTTTCTAAGTCAATTAGGTTGAACTTTTAAGGACTGTGAAGTGATACATGATAGTCCTATGCCATCTGTCTAGATTTCTGAAGCACTTACAAACCAATATTGAGTCATAGTACTTGAGATAGTATTAGAACATAGTTCATGGTTTGAACACTTTGTTTTAAACAATACTGATATTATAGCTTTAATAACACTTTTTTCAAAAACAAAATAATTTCCCATCAGTTTAGAATAACTGTCAGCAATAGAAATGTTTGAAATTAAATTTTCTACCTTCTGCAGCCTGATCTGATTTCACATTTACTTTCTTTTGTCTAAAGTTTGCTGTGCTGCTGTCAGTAAATTACTCCACTTTTTCATCATACTTTTTTTCCTGTCTTTGACACTCTTGGCCCCATATCTATCCACAGTACTGCATTTCTCTCCCCTTCATATTTTTGTTAGCTACTGGCACAGTTAAGAGAATAAAATCTCAAAAAGCTAGTTCTAACCACAGACTATACATGAGGAATGACAGTAGAATATCAAATTAATAAAATTCAAATGGACATTTTCATTCCACTAGAGAGAAACCACAGTAAGGTCAAAACAGAAAGACATATCAAAGGATCAATGTCTCCTCAACATTTTTCTTTGCCTATTCTGATCTCTTTTCACTCTCATGATAATTTTTTCTCTTAATTACTGTTGTCAAATATGGCGTAAGCTGATACCTAAAGATAAATAAATCTAATGGCTTATACTAGCCATGCTCTGCTCTAGATGCAAAATAGTACTTTGCTAATAGCAAAAAGGCAGAAGAAACTTAAATCGATAATGTGTGTTGGTACTACTCACCTGAACCTGTTGCTTTTGTGTATTCAGCATATTAGGATCAATTGATAATGGTCCCAGCACACTGACCATTAGCTCCTTTTCTACAAGCCAGTGCTTTAGCTGAGCTTCTGCTGTCTGGAACTGGATCAGGTAATTTGAAGACTCCTCCAGTTTTTGTTGTCTCTCAGATGTAACTTTATTGAGTTCTTTCCATTTGGAATCTAACAATGATAATGTTAGCATATTGCAAGCATGTTCTAGCAGATGGATTGTGAGACAGCAGACCATATATGAAACATAAACAGTGCCCTCTCATAAGGCTTCGTGCTGATTAACTCCAGATACCTTATTGCAGTGACTCTGCAAATAACATCTTTTAAAAGTCAGACTCACGCACACTTCGATGACAGTCAGCCACACGTGGAATTTTTAGAGCAATGGATATTCAACATGTAATAAAATTATATTAGAATATTACTAAATGAAATACCCCCAAGTGTAGGCTTTGGTCTCAAATTATATAAAAGGCAAAGGGTTCTACTCAGTTATAACTCAGGTGCCTGATTTAAATAGACAAATCTCCCTGCTTATTTAGTAATAAAGCCCCATAAGTTCTCAAGAGTGATCAGAAGCCTGAAATTATGCTTCAACTCTGAACAGCCCTCTGAAAAAGCCTAGCTCTTTCAAATGCCTGTAACATCCATCTGAAACCATTCATCTAAATCATCCAAATCAGGTACCTAATGATGAGCAATGAGAATACTTCTGCATATAGCTATTTCAAAGGCACTGGGTGAGCTTAGGTTCACACCTTGCCAGTCTGTGGTCCTTTCCACTGTGGCAAATGGCTTCCAGAGCAGCCTTTGAGTCTTAGTCTTGTAACTTCCCCCTGCCCCTCTGTGATATTGTCAGTGCTTGCTCAGTCAGCTCTGGTATTTTGCTAACTCTCCCTGTCCCTAATTTTCATCCCTGCTTTTTACAGTTCATTTTGCTGCATCACAGTGCTCTGCTCATTCTGTATTAATCCCCTTTCAACACAAGAGGTCTGTTGGAGACCTTACCTGCTACTTAAACTTTTCAGAGTTTCACTTACAAGAAGGACAGACTGCAAAAACTCTCAGCTTCAAAATTACTGTTGGTGTAGCAATGGAAATGCCTATCACTATGAAACAAGATTGACATGCAATGCTATTGATCTATAATTCACTTAAAATATGACTAACATAAAAAGAATTTTTAAAAACTCATGACAGTTAGGTACTGCAATATCTCAAAATCTATTGACTAAACATGGTCATTTTCTTTTTTTTCCAGTGGATTTTTTTGAAAATTTTTAGCAAAATTTATAGTTTTAGAAAACAGCAAAAAAACACCAAACCCACAAAATGCCAAAAGCCACTAGTTCATGAGAAAATACATGTAGAAGAGCACTACCAACAACTCAAACCATTCTCTACATGAAATTAGAATCACCTTAATTTGTTATATTTTGTAAAAAGAACAAAATATATATGTTGCTTGTAACTGGCCAGTCAAGTTTTAGCTGGCCACCATTTAAAAAAAGATAAAGCCTCTCAAACAGGGAGTCAAGATATAGCCTGTGCAAAAATACAAATTCAAAGCCCATGGATATCACTGGAATTACTTCAGATCTACATGCAAATGTAGTCATTTCCACAGAATTTAAGAGGTAAGAGGAAACAAGTTATTGAAAGTAATTGTTATTGCTAATAAATTTAAAAACTTGTAATAAAACAACTTCCAAATCAGTCTGAGCTATAATATAGCTTTATTGAAGTACCTATTTTATCCAACGTTTGTCTCCACTTAGGTGCCTCAGGAGAGTCAGGGTTCTTCTCCAACAGCTCTGTAACTTTGTCCTTTAATTCCTGCACCTTATTTGCACTTTGCTTTAATTCAGTTTCAAAAAGCTGAAAATTTAGATGATAAAATAAGTAAATAAGAGACTAAAGAAGAATGATAAAGTTTGTAGTCCATAATACTGAGGTACCAAACATGAAGACAAAAAAATAAATATCTAGCCTGTATATACTACTTTTTTGCTATGAATCTCACAACATGTTATAGTGACATATGTTGCTAGTCAATCTTTTTGGAAGAGAGAACCTGACAGATATAAACTATATTAATAATTATTGCTTAATTTGAACAAGTGACAGAACTAGAAAAATTCAGATAAATAAGATTCACTAGGTCCCATCATATTCACACATATTTGGAATCTATTTGTGTACAGAAAGCAAACTGACTAATGCAAAGTACAGCTCACAGCAAAAATAACCCAGCTAGCTCTGACAGAGAGGAGAGTGGTGTGGCCTCAGTAGAAGTCCTGCTATCAGAGACAGACTATTTTGTGTAGATCTCCTAAACCCATAGTTTCAAGAGAATCAGTTTTAAGTGTAAATCTAACAGAAGACTGAGATACACCAGCAAATCTTAATTAATGCTGTTCTTGCAGACAGAATGTTTAATACATGTCTGGCAAAGGGCTCTTTTATGAATGTTCTTAAGTAACAAAGCTTGCCTCATGGAGCTGCTTTTCAATTATCCAAACCCCACAAAAATAAACACTGAACAAACTGTACTTGATTTAGAACTTGTAGTAAAAGGTCCAATGCATCAGATGACTCTTGCCTGAGCACTTGCTCAGTTTTCCAACTATTTGTGAATACTTTTCTATTACTATACTGCAGGTTAGATGACCATGATAGCTTTGCACATTCTCTGTTAAGAAAAAAGAGCTGGTTTTCTTTCACACCTAGTCTGAATTTTATGACTGAAGGTTATCCAACTCTAAGGAAGTTGGTAGGTGGTCAGGTTAATTTTTAAGGGTGACCCGCCAAATACAGAAGAAACTCAGTTGAATCTAATTTTGTCTTTGTTTATATACAATCACAAGCAAAAAAAGAATTTTCTCTATCTATTTCATTTCCCTTTACAGATGAACCTTACATGTGTAAATATTGTCCTTCATTGCTAGGGGAGCATATGTCTCCTATGCTGAAACAGGACAGAAGCTTACTGCTGATTCAGTGGTTTTCTCATATCAATTATAAAGGGGGAAGGAGGCTGTTGTGCAGCTATATAACTTAACAAGCATGACAGGGCTGCTGAAGAGAAACACTGCCTTGGAAGACACATAAGCCGCTGCAGCTGCAGAGAGCGGGAGGTCTGTGGAGCATCAGTGAGCCAGCAGCTGCAGAAACAGCTTTTGGACTGATACAGACCTTCAGATATTACAAGTAATCTATTATATACCTCTAAACCACTAAGATCAAAAATGTTTATTGCATAATCAGTATATTCAAACTGTCCACCATAATTATTATTTTCTGACCTGCAAAACTCATTCTCTCTGACACAGTGCTCCTTTACTCCACTGACACAGTTTTCCAGATTTGCTCTAAGCCTGACTAATATGCTTAGTAGGATCATTTAAATACTCTCTGCAACATTAAACTAGGCTGAGATATCAATTATTTCATAGCATCTGCCTAATAACTACAAGAAAAAGTATTTGTTTGAAGGCACAAAGTACCTTATGTTGCTCGACTTGGGCTTTAACTGCTTCACTATCTGTTGGAGCAGCTTCCCAGTCTGATGCAGTTTTGTCCATTTTTTGCAACCAATGCATCATTGAGGCTGATTCTTCCTGAATATTTTGCATTTTTGAAAGCATACTTTCTAGTTCTGAAATCTTTTCATTCAATAAAACTCCCAAATCTTCATAGCTGTGATTTATATTAGACATAGCTTGTTGAACAGTTGTCAGTTCTGTAAAGAGAGGTGCACAAAGACTGTGTTAGAAATTACAAGCCTTTGAAACAATACTGAATGTACTGAAACAGTATTGAACAGTATTCTGAGCTACAGTAGCTAATAGTCCCCCAAATAAGAAGTCACTGAATATGTTGGAGTTGCTTCCGAAACACTCTAAGTGTGGCAACACTACACCTGAATAAGCTAATATTAGTTCTTATTTGCAGGAACTTCTTATTTCACAGAAATCATTATTTCACTACATACAAGCGCACAGACATGTTTCAATCTTTCTACCCTTTGCTGTTCTAGTATTTTAAGTAACAATTCCGTGACCAAAAGTTGAATGTACCTGGCTACAATTCAGCTACTATAAAGCCCTTATATAAAAGTTCCTTTGTTTCTATAAAAGAGTTGGTCACAGTGATACAAATGTATATAAAATGGGTATACAAATTTTGTATACAAATCTTTGTATACAAATATTTCTATATACACATGTTGTCAATGCTGATGGGTGTTAAAGTTTCAATCCCATTGCAAGGTATTTCTCAAAAGTCATGCCCTATATTAAAATAGCCACCCCTGTATACATTTATAAAAGTACATATTGATTCAGAAAACAAGGCCAGATTTGGTTGGTCCTCAAAGAAAATAATGAGACAGGTATTGTTATAATTACTTACAATAGTCAATGCCCTAGTCAATGTAGTTGTCTTATGTGATGGTGATGTGAAATTTCAGTCTAATAATGACTGCTACAAGCAGATTTATGTATAACATTTAAAAAATACTTCCATGTTTAATAGTAATTGGCAAGCAACATTTCTTTATCACATGCTGAAATTTTTACTGACCTTTATTTTTCAAGAAGTCCTGAGTTCCTGGAGCTCCTCCTTCACCATTTAAAATTATGCCGCCTGTGGATCAACAGATATTAAGCCTCTTGCTTATCTGAGCCTTTTCCCACCAAAACACCAGCACTTAATTTCCTGTTCAAAGCAGCATGATCCATAGCTGTCATTACATCAAGAATGAAGCTCCAACCAGCCAGTACTATCAGTGGTCTCACAAAGGCAGAGCATGTGCATACGTGTGGGGTGTACATGCATGCACTTAGAAGGGTGCACATATCTATGATTTATCAGCAGTCCTACTGCTTGCAGTTCTGGACTAAACAACTCATCAGGGCGAAAGGTTTACTCCCTACCTGTGAGGCCTATTCACATCCAGATTGCTAATATCACTTCCTTCCTCTCTCCCAAAGGATCCTGTTCCCTACTAAGAACACGGTTTTACCCAGCTGTGACGGGTGTAGCCTGAGAGAGGACAAGCTGGCAAACGCTGCCACTAAGGAGAGCACTAAACATTAAACAGCAAAGAGTCCCAGAGTCCTTATTTCAGACACCCCAACCAAAGACACTGCTTACTTAGGGCACCTGTACCCACCAGGGAAGCAGTCGAGATACCATTCCTGGAGGTATTTGAAAAACATGTATATGTGCTGCTTGGGGGCATGGCTTAGTGCTGGACTTGGCAGTGCTGAGTTAATATTTGGACCTTAAGGATCTTTTCCAACTTAAAAAGATTCTATCTGCATTGTAACTCCACACAGAAAGTTCTTGAAACAAACTGGATTAATCCCTCCCTATCTTGTCATAAGCAAGATTCAAGCATGTGCTCCGTGATAGGAATTTCAATGTGGCACTCTTACACCCGAAGTTCTTACTGTCACTTGGAGGCAGCCACTCACCGAGGCTGCCCTGCTAATTAACCATAATATCAGAGCCTCTGAAACCAGAGCTAATGGGCTTTGTAAAGTAGAGTCAGACCAAAGAGCAGGGCCATATGACCACACTGCAGAGAACTGCAAGGATAATCACTTCCCGCTCTCCTGCACATATGTAATCCCAGAAGAGCAATTAGCAGAGGAAGATTAATGGTTGCCTTGGAAAAGGCTATGCATCCACCCCCCCAGTACCAGCTGGACAGTGAGGACCACATTAGTGGCAGCTGGAGGATGGCAAGAGAAAACAAACCAGATAAGAGAAGTTACAGGCTCCAACCAGGGCCCTGTAGATCTTCACGCTCTTTTAGCTGGACTCTCGTATTTGTAACTGCGATAAAGTGATGCACAGTACAGCTCTTGTCAAGAAGGGTAAATATTCTGGTCTGGAGCTGCTCTTATGTGTTAGGTATTTAACTATATTTTCTATCTGAATGCATAGGAGTGGAAAAGAGGCAGAGGAATGAGCCCAAATAGATCATAGAAGATTCCAAAAAGTTCTTTGGAAGATTGTTATTGAAAGTTCAAAAGAAAAAAAACAAACCAAAAGCAGAGGCAGCTATTACAAAGAGATACAAGAAAGAGAGTGTTCTGCTTTTGCCCAATAGGTATCTTCTGGCAGTCCCCAACCTCCCAGTCATTTGCAGATGACCAATGAAGGCCAAAACACTTGAATTTATTTCCAGACCTAGTCAGTTCAAGAACTGACTGAAAATGTGCTTACTGCCATTAAAACACCCCATGTCCTTGAACTATGTCTGGAATGATACTTGGCAGAATTACTGGTTTCTGTAAAACAAATTAGTATTTAGCACTAGAGTAAAAAAAATCATGGAAATAGATTTGCTATCTTTAAAGTATGATTACCAGTAGAATTTAGCTGAAGATCTAGACAAGAAAACACACTTTGGCCCAGGAAAATCACGCTGAGATACAAAGTTGATTCCCTTCTGTGCTGTAGTTTCAACTAAAACACTGACTAATACTAATTAGGATGAGTAAGTTTACCTAGGCTCATTTTTTATATATACCATCTCCTCACTACCCTTCTAACAAAAACTCCACGATTCCGCAAACCTTTCTGTGTTTCCTTGGTGTCACAGAATAGCCTGTTGGCCGTTAAATAGGTATCTCTGTGCAGGTACATCAGAGTTTGTAAAACAAGGCTTGTATTTCTCCTACTTGCAGATTTGATAGATATGTGAAGCACAAAACACTGACCAGAAAAATTCAATTTCTCATTCTCAGAAGCTTTCTGGGATGAGGTGAAGGCAACTGCAATACTGTAATTTTATTCACTATCTGGGAATTACATAACAGCTCTAGGACATGTTAAACCTTTACATCAGTGCACTTTTACATTATTATGCCAGAATAAAACAATGAGAATGTGTGCTGAATTACTGCAGCAGCTAGGCAGTTTAAACAGAATCACAGCAAACAATGGTCAGAAGAGACATGGATAAATGTTTTCTCACAAGCCATAATATTCAGAATGCTAAACCAAGGCTGAAACAATATTAATTTTTGTCTTAAAGGTTTTAAAAATTCTTGGAATGTTAGGCTTACCTGATTATACAAAAGCATACCTGATTTGGCAACTGCTCTCAATTTTGCAGGAGAAGTCACAGCAGTGATTAAGTTACACAGCAAAGTTCCTCTGCTATTCATTTTCTGCAGTTCAGGTGCCTTTAACGTCCATTCATCTTTTAAATTCTGGTTAATAAAGATAGTAATTTGTTCATTACTAAACTGACTTCAGACTTTAGCGAATTAGCGTTCAGAAAGGAACAACTTTACTGCTTGAGAATCTCTTGCGAAACATACAAAACAAATGGGAATGTAAATTCAGACTGCAAGCCCCCTACTCCCAGTTACTGTGACTGCTTACACTTTAAATCTGTATTTCAATATTAGTAATAGATGCCTTATTTCCTTCAGCCAGATTTCAGTTCTCCTACAAAGGCTTACCAATGTATCTTCCAAAGGTTTCTTTAACTCCTCTGTATTCAGAGAGGGCTGTGCTGCTGGAATTCGTTCTGTCGTCTCCTTTATCCATTTCTTTAATGATTCTACTAGGAGCTCAAAAGCATCCATTTGTTTCTGACAAGATGATACATCCTCTTCTCTAGACAATTAAAGACAAAGGAATGACAGTATTCCTTCTAATATTTAAACCAACAAATATTATTAATCTGATATTACTATTCCTAAATTCAAAGTATCAAAAGGCTAATTTTATGGATATAAGCAGAATGTGCAAAACCTAGTCTTACTGCAAATGTAACTTCTGTGGAATTTCTCCAGCTTTCCTCTGCAGATTGATGCCAAATAATGCTCTAAAGCAATATACACAAGCAGCAATTTATGTTCTGTCATGGAAGGAGAGAAGTAGGGTTTTCTTAAAATTGCCAAGAATCCTGTAAATGTCACAAAATTTGAACAATTACTTATCTTTATGGCCTTTTTTAGAGCTCTTGGGCCAGACAGCCTAACTACAAAGGCATTTTCAAATATAATTTTTCCTTTCAATAGAAAACTCCTCACTTCCTCTGATCAACCGCAATATCTTGAGATTGCATACAAAAGGATAGCAGTAAATACTGTAAACACATTCACGCTGTGTTATTAGCTGAAGTGGAAACACTTTTATTATTCAACTTACTTTTCTTTTATTGTCTCCTCTACCTCTTTGAATTTCTTTGACAAAGCATTTACTTTTTCTAATACCAGTGCTTTATCTCCAGGAAGAGCATGGAACGAAAGTTCTTCAAGGAGCTGCTTCAAAACTTCCAGATCCTTCTTGTGTTGTGCCAACTCTACACCAGCTTCCTGCAAAATAGGATTACATTCATCATATTAGACTCTACAATCACTTGTTCAAAATTAAACTCTTGACTTTAGCTAACCAACCAGTGCTGGGAAAAAAACATGCCTTGTTTCTTGTTCAATCACTTAGATGAGTTAGACTAAGAACACACAACACATACCAATGGAATGCTACAGTACCTGCATGTATTGAGACACTTCACTAACATCCTTTCTCGGTGCCTCCGTCTCACTGAGTGCCTGGTTTTTCTCATCTAGAAATGATTGAAGTTTTGTTGACAGACCTTCAAATAACTCCACTTTAGTCTTCAATTCCTCCATTTTCATAAGCTTCTCCCTATGCTTGTTACTTGCTTCAGAAAACCGTCCTGCAAGTTCACTCATTTTAGCTTGCAGTGTGGATGCAGTAGACGGATCTGCTGTTTCCATGAACTTCTTCACTTTTTCATTCATAGTGTTTATACTGCTTTGGCGACCAGCAATGTCTTGTTCTAGCATCTGAAACATACAATAACTACTTTGTATTACTTGCAATTAAATTTTAAGAAGTGAAATTCATCTACCATATAAAGCAACAAAAGCTAGACCATCAGTGTAATCTATTTCAGCTACAAAATCCTTATGAACAGTTTCACTTCACACAACAGTCCTCTAGTATTTTGAATCCATAAAAAGTGCCAACCTAAGATTTTAATTCTTTCTTTAAATCTGAATTATCAAACAAAAGTTTATTTTTTCAAAGAATGCTACTTACGATGCTTTTACTAATAATGTCCTGAATAGCAGCAGAATTCAAAGGCACTTGATCTTGCTCTTTAAGGCTCTTTTCAACTCCTTCCATCCAATCCAGCATTTCATCCAAACCATCCTGCACACTTAGGGATCGTGTCAGAGTTACTTGAAGCTTCTCATTCCTTTCATTCACAGATTTAGACAAATTGTCATATCTTTCCACAATATCATCTGATAAAGAGAAGATATATTTCAATTTTTATCTCTAGCCAAACTAAGCTTTTAGCTTACTTCACCAGCACTCGCCAGTTGAGTCAAAAATTGCTACGTTAGAATGAAGAAAATAGAAGTCAGCTTTAGTCAGTAAAAACATGGAAACAAAGACCAGCAATTTCAAACAGAGTCAAGAAACACACTGGACAAGGGAAATGAGGGAGTAGCATATAACTGTAGTGCCCAGTGTTAGAAACTGGTTTCCATGTAGCTTTAGCTTAAGGCATCTGTTGACTGTACCCAAGAAATAAAACAGCGAAGTATTAAGACAGCTCTTCTATAATTATGTCTCTTATGTTATTGTGAGATCTGAGAGGTTCCTCATTAGACATCCAATACTTTCAAAATAACTCTCCAAAAGTTACAAGCTCCGTGTACCTCCCATAGAGTTTTATCACCAACTCCAAAGAGTCAAGCCACAGTTGTTTTATTTTGTTCTGCAACTTATTTATGGGATTCCATGAAGAGATAGCTGTGTGACACACAGAAAGTGTCTTCAAACTTCAGACAGTGGTGAATGTCATGCTGCGCTACTTCCCACAACTGATAGGAAAGAGGTGTAGGTGGTAAGGTTTTGGTGTGGTAAGGGTTTGCTAGTGACAAGTTTTTTTGGCTCATGTGAGAGGTGGTCAAGGACTGCCCCATGGAAGACACAGATGGTTGCAGCCAACTCCAGCTGACCCATCACAGGGCACAGCTGAGCTTCTCAGCCAAACTGGTGGTGCCACTGGAAAAACGTATTTAAGAAAAGGGAAAACACTGCACGGGACTGAGAAATGAGGGAAAACAAAGTATGAAGACAGCCCTGCAGACATGAAGGTCAGAGAAGAGAGAGGGAGAAGAGATGTTCCAGGTGCTGGAGCAGAGATTCCCCTGAAGCCTGTGGAGGATGGAGGAGGAGATAAACACACTGCAGCACGTAGAGGACCCAGGCTAGAGGAGGTGGATATTTCCTGAAGGAAACACAGCCTATATCCACACTAGAATAATATTAGCCCAAAAGACTTCAGCCTGCAGAGAGGTCCCTCACCAGAGCAGGGGAAACATGTGAGGAGGAAGCAGCAGCAGAGAAATTATGGACTGACCACAAGCATCCATTTCCCATCCACACTGCTCTGTTTGGCAGGGAGGAAGGGGGACCAGTTAGGAAGGAAGGAGTAATAGTAAGCCTGGAAAAAACAATGGGGTGGAGGAAAGTGTTGCTGTAATTTGTCTTTGTTCGCATTTCCCAAACCTATTTCATTTAGCAATAACTGAAAGTTAATTTTTGCCAAGTCAAATCTATTTTCCCCATGACAGTAAAATGTGAGTGATCTCCCCATCTTTATCTCAACCCATGGGTTTCTCTATCTTAATTTTTACTCCTGTCCACTTGATCAACAGGAGTGAGAGAGAAGGTGGGTGAGCATCTGGCACCCTGCCAAAGTCAACCCATTCATAGACAGTTCCTTAAAGTTAGAAGGAAGTAATTCCTAAGCTAAGAAAACTTCAAATAACTGCTTGTAAACAGATTCTTTGGAGTCATGTTTCTCTGGAGAATTTATGATCCCCAGCAAATCACTACCTCTGCTCAAGCAATCCCTATTTCTGTAAAAAGAGAAAAAATGAAATGTCAGTGAAAAACATATGGATCCACGTAGGAGAGAGACCAACAATAAAATTACTGTGTTGTAATGACTTATGACTCAACAAAACATGGATTTAAACAGTGACATAAGAATGTGGAAGCTCTGTAATTTTTTTCTTCCAGAACCTGTGTGCAGACACAAGTGATAAAGAGGTATTAAGAAAAGCAAATATTTTACCCAGTGTTTTCTGAATCTCATCTTTGTCTGGTGTCAACTCTCCCCTTGTGTCCAATAATACTTCAGCAGCTTTTTTCAGTTTTTCTACAGCAATTTGGTGATTAGACACTTGTCCCTGAAGAACCTGTAAAATTCCACTATTATCAGTTATGCTTTTCAGTACAGTTGATATTTACATAAGTCAGACTTGAGATACATCACAGAACCTAAACTTAGTGCTGGGAATAAACTAACTCAATTTGTGACCTCTCCTTAAGAAAAATCCTGACCTGTGGTTATGGCTGCTGTTAACCTTCTGGCCCTTGTTTTAGTTCATTCACCATTTTTTTTACCTTATGTTTTAGAACACTTGTCTGACCCAACTTATTTTTACACGTAACTTCAAACATGTCTTTTGATTAATTGATTCTAAAGACCCTTTATACAGACAATTATAAACACAATTTTCAGTTCAATTCAGAGGGAAAAGCAGACAATCAACAGCAGCAGTTACACATTCATCAGCAGTGGTATCGACAAAGGATCAGGCTGATACTGTAGCACAAACAGGAACAGCTTGAAACAAGATGATTGCCTTCACAGCCAGGTACCCCTGTGTGGCTGAATTTGGCCTAGGTTTATCCACCTAACCAAGGAACACATGTTCAGAGACTAGCCCAGCCATGATTTTCTCCAGACTCAACAAAGACAGTAAGGCTGAATCAACATCTAGTGGCTTCACCTCTCTAGTGTGTAAGAGTACTTTAGGGTAAATAATCTTTGAATTATTTCAGGCCTCTGTGCTAGTGTTTGTTTTGATTCACTTGAACCTTATACAAGTCCAAAATGAAGGGACATCTCATTTATTTTTTGAATAATCATTGATACTCAATGAATATATGAATCAAAAGGTATTCATATGTGCCCTGCCAGCACAAAGAGCTGTCAGTGCATTCATCACTGGTACCCAGAGCATAAGAGTGTGCCAGAGCACAGTACATCATCTTGCTGACCCATTTGACACAATGAGTCTCCAAGAGGCTTAGGCTAGTGTTTGTGCAGAAAGGAAAAACAAAAAGGAAAGGAAAAGAAAAAAAACAAAGAAAAAGAAGATGTACCAGAAAACTTTGTATGCTAACAGAAGGCAAGCAAGCTGATGCCAGAGGCACTGAAGAATATTCTGAAGAACAGTTAATCCCCATAAAAAGATTAGACCTCACCATGCTGCCAAGGTCTGTGTCTAGCTGGATTATCAGCCGCCTGTGTTGGCTACAAGGGACAGCTTTAACTTTCAACACCTGACTTCCTCAAAATACTCTTTGTTTTGCTTTCATTAATTGGCTTGCTTTCTTCAGCCTCCTGCTTTTTCTATTCCTTTGAATCTTTTGACATTTTGCACCCTCTCTGTTCTTCCCAGCTCATAGTCATTGAGTGCTCTTTTGTATGGCAAGTAATCCATGTAGACATTTCATAAAAAGAACTCTAGTACTCACTCCTTTTGTATTACATCCATGAAAATTTGCATTATAGAGAATATAATTCATTTTGGCATAAGGAACAAAAATTTTAAATTATGCTTCAAATTGTAATTAGTTTTATTCCTACTCTTCTAGTGCTTGGAAGCACAATTATACCTAAACATTCAATTGTTAGGAGTCCACAATTTACACTTTTAATTTTGTTGTCTTAAACATGGTTGTGATTTGTCTCCTTTTCCTGTCATGCAAAAAAGTGCTGGGCATTTCCAGTGGCCAATTTGAAAGATACCATAGATAAAGGTAACTACTGCTCAGGCTGTTGAAAGGGAAATGCTTAAATCATGTACTTTCCAAAGGCCATTGATGATCATTTTCCAATAGTAAATGTGTCTGACCTGCACTGATACTTTATTGAGCACAGACAAACCAGTGAGGAAGTGCCTGACCATTAGCCTTGCTCACTAAAAACCAAATAATCTTGCACTTTATTTATATTATAGGTGATTGAATGTGTTTATGAAAATATAGCAGTCAGTTCAAAGATGACAGACTGTATGAAATTTTATATAGCTCACCATATACTTGGGCTCTAAAGACTTCTCCAAACCTACACTTTGTATAGGTATCCAGAGTTTAACTTTCATAAGCTCTATCACTAACTTGTCTTGCCTGTACAAGGATTTACATGAAGTCATGAGTTACATCCTCAGTGGCAAAAAACCAAAAAATACCATTTTTCTGTGCAACACCAATTATGTTATATTCACTCTCTGCAGGGTATGTAGCACTGGGAGAAATTGAAACAGGCAGACTACTCACATCACACTGTTCACCTGGTATGATCCCTTTCATAATGAAGTAACACACAAATGTGAACAGAAAAAAAAAATAAATAGTCACAGACAACAATCAAATGGAATTCTCTATCTGGAACCCTATCCAAGCCTTATTCTGATAGCAAACCATCATCACTAAATCCTTTTGTAGTTCAAAAACTTTCCAGATTTCACCCTATCATTTGCTAAGTGATCGAAAACATATCTTGCTTTCACCACTGCATCTTGGTACCCCATTTTTTTTCACCCAGTGTTTTCAGATATTGCTCTGGACAGCCAAATTTCAGAAACACATGTACGCCCACATGCAAGGCAAGAATTTGGCCTGTGGCCACTTGGATTACATTAGATCAACCCATTTTTCAGACAAAAAGCACTTTTTTAGGACAAAAGTGCTGCTGTATTCTAAAGCTTTTCACCTTAGTTTCTTCAAGTTGTCTTTGGAGATTTTTGGGATCCACTGCAATTGGCTCTGATAATTGTTTGCTCACAGCTATTTCAGAGGCCTGGAGACCTGACAAAAGTCCAGATGAGGCATCTTCATAATGCTGGTATTTATCCACCAGGTCTTTAAGGTTATTTCCAAGGATGCTACACTAAAAGAGTAAAAAAGAAACAAGCAAAATACACAGGTGTTAAACTGCATTTCTGCATTTCGTACCAATCTGAAAGTTATACATTCCTTCCTGGAATACTGCATCATTTTTTCCTACCATCATTTCACTGACTAACTGATTTCTGAACTAAGACATGACAGCTGGAGAGACTATGCAGGGCTTACCAGTTTGTGCTCCTAAACAATGATTTAGGATAAAATCACTGATGAAGACGGGAAATTTGGATCTTACTTCCTGTATTAGAATAGGAAAAACTTCAGGAATTATTTCTTATTCACTGATATAAAGATTCTTTATCAGAACTCGGGCACCAAAAATGTAGAAAGCAAGTGGAAAGTAGAAATGTAGAAAGCCACTGGAAGCTATAATTTTTTTTAAAGAATCAGGAGTGATATGTATGTTCATTAAAATACAGCCTGTTTTCATAACTACCTTACCTGCATAGTGAATCCAAAGTGATATGGTTGGGTATTGTACTTATGCTTTGTTTTATACACTTAAAAATGTCTTCTGAACAAGGTCCTATTAGTCCTATATGTTAGCATGCCCCAAAATGTTTACAGGGAATTGTCACATAAAGAAAGTCAGTGAAACTCTTTCACTGAGATGGAGATGGGTGCACAAGAAAAATCCGATTGTATCAAGTCATAATATTTATAACCAGTTACATTAAATATTTATATTCTGAACCTTCAGATACTGTCTTTTAATATTTACAAATGATACTTGGTCGCCATCTGGCGGGCAAACATAGAACATGCTTATTTATATAATCAGTTAACCAAGAACTGACTTTAGGATTCCTTCAACATATAAACCTATAAAATCATGTCTCACACATGTGCAAATACATATATATATAAAAGCAAAAGCAATCTAAATATTTATTAAAAGCAAGAAACCTTTACAAAAGACAAAAAGGGTTACCAGCAATTCATTTACAGTTTGGAAAATCTCACTAATTGTGAACAATCTCACTTTTAAGAATCTGTCCTTAAAGACACAAAATGTCTACTTTGTTCTGCATATTTATTGTCAAATATTTAAAACATGTCTATTATAACCCTGCTAAATGTATGTATGGAAAGGACAGAATTTGGAAAATTGACAAATCAAGCTGCTGGCATGGGATTTTTATGTGCATAAAAATAACAGATCTGAAATTATTTTATTAAATCTTTACATTCACATTCAAAGTAATTCAATAACCAACCAGAGGAAATCTGTCAACAGAACTGCCAATTTAGCTTCTCTGTTCATACCAGTTAAGCACAAAAAGGAAAATGTGCTTCTATAAATGAACAGCTGTCTTGAAAAACCAAGAAAACAAGTTTTACACTGCTTTTTTAACCACACAATCAAACACATGTCTTTATATAATTTACATTTCTGAGCATGAAAACCTTAAAGCCCTACTAAGAAGTTTGAACCTATGGCCTTAAAAAAATATGAGATGGCACTATCAAAGGCTGCTGACAGCAACTCTCTCTTCAATGGTTCAGTTACTAATTATCTCAAAAGTTTACCATTCTGGAATATTATCAATATTGAAAAACAGCTGTTTTTTGGAAAACAGCTGGAAATTTGGCATGTGAGACTAGTTGGTGATATTTGTTTAGCTCTATCAGGCAGATTCCATATGCAACCCTGTCAAAAAGAGCTAGGTTATCTTCCCTCTCTAAGGTACATGGAGGATTTTGCACTGCTAATTACTCATTAGTTAGACACTAATCTGGTATTCTTAAGGATAAAATGTTCACTTGGCAGAGCAGTGGAAAATAATTGCTGTCCTTAAATCACTAAGTTCTTTCATGCCTAGTGCTAACAACAAAGGTCACACTGGGACAAACTCTTTCAGGATACAAATTAAATCTCTACTGCTATTTTTGGCATAGTCTCTCTCTTTTTACACTCATTTTATTAGTAGGGAGCACAGTAAATAAACAGCTTGGAAAATATTGCAAGCAACATAAAGTAACATACATCTGAACGTACTACAATTTCTTTCCCCCCACAAAATACTACTCAAGGCATTCTGAGCTGCCACAATCTCAGAAGCTGTTTAAGGCTGGAAAGAACAACGAAGAACTCTGGTCTCATTTCTTCCTTGTAACACAAAGTAGAAAGTATCATCCATTCAGACCTTTAACAGTCTGACACTTGACTAAAGTAGATCTTCCAGAAAAGCATCTTCTTCTGTTATCTTTGAGAAACAAAGAATTTACAGCATCTCATGGTGTTTGTTTCATCAACTAGCTCCTGTCCACACAAATTGCTAAATCAATTACAATAGTCATTCCTATTCAGTATAAATAAAACTTACCTTAGTATAGAGAGATTTGAAGCGATCTGAAGCTCTATCCAGTTTATTTTGCACTTCAGCATATGTAGCCGAAGTATCTATACCATCTTTGTCAACCTTCACACCGTCTCTTTTGCTACATGACCTTGCAGCATCCAAAACTCTTTGTCCAGAAATTGTAATATAGCGTAAATCACCTTTGTGAGAGATAACATCTTCTGAAAAACTCTTCTGCCTTTTCAGTTTGACCATAATACCACTGAAGTCAGAAGCACCTGCCTCCAAATTGTCAAGTTCTTGTTCTGCCTGCTGCAGCCACATTTCAAATTCACTATAGTCTGCATCAAATTTCTCCAATTCCTCCCTTAGAGAATGGGTCAATTTCATTTTTCGTTCTGATTCAGCCAAAGCAGTCTCATACTGAGCCTTCAGCTCTTTCATGTTCCTCTGCATCTTGTCTTTTTCTTCAGGGGTAAGGTAGTGCCCTTGTTTCTCAAGCAGTGTCTGAGCAGACTGAGTTGCTACTATGATAGCCTGCTGCTGTGAAATAATTTTCTCATGTTGAGCCTACAAATAAAAGAATAAATTACAATCAGCACCTTCTCATATGGTTCCTTAGAAAAGGACATGTAAAACAAAATGATATAAGGCTTTTCTAATTTTCTTATCTTATTATAAACCCCGCTTTTTTTCAGCAATTTAAGTGAAAGTGTGACTCTTGGTCATCATATTTCTGTGCAGTTAAAAATTTTTTAACATTTAACATTTTGAATGAAAAGCATTCAATGGTAATTTTTCCAGATGTACAGACCACGACTATATGGCAATGTTCAAGTATCATTGCACTGCAGCAATATGTGGATGTATATATCACAAATATTTTCCCCTGTACTTCCAAAACACAGCTCTGTAGAGCAAAACTAGACATTATCAATCTCTTTTATTTTTTTTCCTAACAAAATCAATTTGCTTATTATTTAGCATTTATGGTAGTGTACTTAGCGTAATCAAAATTTCCCTAATTCTCATAATTTCAAAACGGGATTTAACAAATAAAACATTCAAATGTAACTTGGCAACTTCCCAAATCAAAACTCTCCATGTCCCATTACTTATATTGTAGCTACCATTACAGACAAGCAGACCCAAAGGAGTAGAAGCATCAGACATAGTACAGTTATTTTCTTCTTACACTCAGTGAACAGAAATTATTACTTGGGTTTTGAAATTTCAAAATCAAGAGCCATGATTCTTATTAAACATAATTAATTAAAAAACTATAGGTCCAGTTGACATTAAAAATCAACACACAATCTATGTATGTTTTCAATCCCACAACAATATTTAAGTCCAGGAATTAGTACTATATTCCAAATGAAAAACATATTTCAAATATATTCTTTCAAAAAATCCTTCATTCTTGAAGGTCCCCCATGAAAAATAAGTATGTTTTTCCTCCATGAGTACACTGGCCAATTATTCTGTAGGCAGTTGGTGCAGAAATTAACTGTCAAAAAAGTAGAAGTAAAAATATCATGTGCACAAAACCCAATAATCCTATTTGTTTAGGTTGCTTTTGGGGTTTTGGTTTTTAGGTTTTCTAATAAAATAGGAAATCCAAAATACTATCAGCTACAAGCTCAACAGTTTTCTTTAAGGTGCCAATCAACTCAAAGCTAAATTTTCTTGGCTTCTCAGCTGTAAGTCAGCAAACACCATAAAACTGAACTAGTATTATTTTAAATGCTTCCAACTTACCAGGAAAATCTATTTTTATAATGCTGCACTGTAATTTTATGTAATTCACTCTTCTGAAGACTTCAAACACTGCTTTGTCCATGTGTTAAAGTTGTAGGAAATGGAAACTATAATTTCAGTAAACTATTATTTGCAGCAATTTGCAATCAGTATTCACAGGGGATTAAAACGGGATGAATCATCTGGGTATCACAAAGATTTTTGAAAAAGTCACAGAAAGGGTATGAATTTATATTGCTACTTTTTGCATTTTATTTGCTTGCGTCAATTCCTCACTACAAAAAATAACAGACTCACCACAAAGATTCTTTACATTTACCTTGCAGAATATGTCCTTTCTCTTATTTTGCAGGAAAAATCTATAGTGGCAGCAAAAAAGTGACAAATGTGCAATACATTCTAACTACTGAAATTCCTGTGTATTACTGTGTATTACTATCTTTCTAGGGTTTGCTCCAAAGCCTATGACAGACAGGATGAGATTGAGTTCACTTATGCTGAATAAGGAGTGATACACCTAAATGTTTAATAAACTCAGTAACAATACCTTGACTTTCTGATACTGCTGGTTCAGATTATCATCTATGCTTTTTACTAGTCCATCCACCTGAGTTTCAATGTCTTCCAGCAGATTACCGTTGACATCATCCTCCTCTCCTTCCAAAACTTTCACATCTCCTTCTTCAAAGTGTGTTCCATTCTGTTCTATCACTTGCTTAAACTTCCGGCCATGCTCTGCTTCTTTATCCACATTTGATAACCAATCCAAAAGATTTTCTATTGTATTTTTGCTTTCTTCCAGCTGTTCTATGGCTGCAACCTACATTGAAATTTCAGTTTCAATTTAGAAATCTTCTTTAAAGATCACAAAATATCAAATAAATACACAAATAAATGATTTAAAATACATTAACATCAAAGAAATTTTTATTAATAAAGAGGTTGCTGTTTATTTTATAAGAGAATAAACAAACAGATTATTTATTACCCAAATTAAATATGATATTAACCTCTCCACAGTTTATCAATATGTATTGGGTATGTATTTGCTTGACCAGGTTTTGGAATTGGAGGGGCTGCAGGGGTGGCTTCTCTGAGAAGCTTCCTTCATGTCCAACAGACCCGATGCCAACTGGCTCCAGCATAGCACAACTTGCTAAGGCCAAGCCCATCAGCAATGGTAGTAGCAACTCTGGGATCACATAGTAAAAAAATGCATAAAAAACATCAGCCTGAAGAGAGGAGTGAGAAGATGTGAGAGGAACAGCTCTGCAGGCACCAAGGTCAGTTCAGAGGGAGGGCCAGGAGGTGCTCCAGGTGCAAGAGCTCAGATTCCCCTGCAGCCCCTGGCACAGCCCACGGTGAGGCAGCTGTGCCCCTGCAGCCCATGGAGGGACACAGGGGTGCAGAGATCCACCTAAAGCCTGAGGAGGGACACGGGTGCAGAGATCCTGGTAAGACCCCACTGCAGAGCACATGGATGATCAAAGGAAGCTGTGACCCTGTGGGAAGCCCACACTTGAGCTGGCTTGTGGCACAACTCGTGACCCCATGGGGTCATTCCACGTAATGGAACAATGTGCCTAAAGGACTGCACCCCATGGAAGGGACCACACTGGAACCCTTGGGAAGGACTCATGTTGGAGAAGTTCACGAAGGACTGTCTCCTGTGTGAGGGACCCCACACTGGAGCACAGGAAGAGTGTGAGACGTCCTCCCCTTGAGGGAGGGAGCAGTAGAGACAATGTGTGATGAACTCACCACAACTCACATTCTCCATCCCCCTGGCATCAGTGGTGGGAATGAGGGAGAGAACTCCGGAGCTGAGCTCAGGAACAAGGGAGAAGTGGAGGGAAGGTATCTTTATTTTTTTATTTCTCATTGTCCTATTCTGATTTGATTGGTAATAAATTAATTTCCGCAAGTCAAACCTGCTCTGCCTGTGACTCCGACTGTGAGTGATGTCTCCCTGCCCTTATCTCAACCCACAAGCTTTTCATTACATTTTTTCTTCCATGTTCAGCTGAGGAAGGAAGTGATGGAATGGCTTTTTGGCATCCAGACAAGGTCAACCCACCACACAATAAGTTGCACAACTAGTATCATAAGACATGAAAAAGGTTTGAATAAAGGTATGAAATGGTTGCCTAAAAACCTTTTCTGTTTCCTGCTTAATTGCTGTTGTCATAGCTTTATCCAGTTCTTTTTTGGACTCTTCTGCCTTCTGGCTAAGGAGCAAACACTTTGTCTTAGCTTCATTTAGTTTCTGCTCCAGAATTGTCCTGTCTTCTTGTGACAACTTTTCTCCATTCTCTTTCAAGAAGGTTTCAGTATTTTTCACGATCTCTGCCAGTGTCTGGGCACTTGTTCTCATGTCTTTTTGTATCTCCTTTTGATAAAAAAGAAAGCAAACAGGAGTTAGTAAATTATTCATGAGATCTTCCCAATTAACTTCATTGGAACTATCTCTCTTCTAGGGGTAAGCACCACACTGGTCCTTCCTAGCTGCACATGATACATTACTAAATTGCAGACAATTAATAAAATCAAAGGCATCAATATCTGACAGTGTTATTACAGTTCAATCTGTCTTTCACAACTTTTTTTTTAGAATTGCAAATCTGTTTCCTTACAGTCCTATTCAGACTGAGGCCTTTTTTTGGCCTTCTTTTAAAGTTCAAATATTGTGTTTCCACATATGTGGAAGAACATATATCTTATTTTTTTAGAAATCAAGACTTAAGTAAATCTGCTACACTTCAGTTAGTAAGTGAGTATCCTCACAAATTCTGGTCTATTACTATCCTAGCTGCTGAAAATAAGCTAACTGAATAGAAGTCAAAAAATTATAATCATCTTTCCTGGGTGAAAGCTGTCCCATATTTCTTGGGTTTGTTCAGGCCAGAAATGGCATAAACGTTTTTTTCTTCTTCTATTGTAATCAATCATAATATTTCAGTCTCTCAAGAATGTTTACTTCCACTGAATTTTATAGAGGACAGATCTTCAGTTTTAATTTACCCAAAGCAGTTTTCTTAGTCTGTCTTCCCAATTATCTGAGAGAAGCTTTAATTGTAAGGATTGCACTATTGAATACATTCCCACAGTTACTGAAACAATGACATTTTTCACCTTTTTATGCAGCGTAACAATCTTGGAGATGCAAGACAGAACATTTGATCCTCATTCTAGACTACAGATTTTGCAGCAATTATAGAATGTAGCAGCTAAAACTGCAGCTCATTTTAACACTTCAGCAAGTACATTAGAAAGATTTTCCTGGGGACCCTGTATCAACAACAGCTTCTCCTGTGACCAAGTTCCCTGTGCTCCCTTTCAAACAGTGCACTGAGGATGAAAGCTTCACTTGACATAAAAAAGACTGGGTTTTAACCCCCAATCCCTCCGAAGACAAATTTTTTGAATGGCCATTCCAAGAAATCAGTCAGAAAACAACTAGTCTGTTAGACAGCCACAAACAGCTGATGAAAAAAAAAAAAAGAGGCATATGCTGTATCAGTTCTTCCCTCCCCATGAGTACCCCATTTAGGCCACAAATCCTTAAGACAGGAAAGAGATATTAAAAGCTACCCCAGGGGTGACTGACTATAAGAACAACTTTGACAAACTAGATGCATTACTTCAAAGACAAGTAAAGCAAGGCAAGATGAATAAGGAAATTTCTCTTTTTACAGAGAGTTGGAGCTCTACAGTATAGTAAACTAGTACTAGGAGGAGGAACAAGAAGATTACCAAATCCTTCAGTCCTTTAACTATCATAAGCTCAGTATCTATTAGGACAGAGCAAAAGCTTATAGATGACTGGATACAGCTGAAGATCCAGGAAAGCAAACAAACTGAAAGGGTTTTGCTACATGAGGACACCAAAGAGATTGCAAGAAACACTAATAAGAACCAGAATTCAGAACAAAACAAGAGTGAAGCAATGGAAAGCCTCAGGCAAGAGAAAACATTGCAGTAAAATTTTTCAAATTACTCCGAACGGGAATAAACACTTCCTGATACCAGTTAAAAAGCTGGCTAAATTATTTTAGCATAATAAGCATGTATGATTTTTATCACATTCAACAGGAACAATCTTAAGCTAATATATTAACAAAATTTATGCCTGCTTCAAGAGTGCTTCTTGAAATGTGTAGCACATATTCCCTATTCTAGTGTCTCCTCATTTGGGAGTTTGTCTTCTCTCACTGGCACGTACTGGAGTGTATTCACAGGCAGCAGTTTAAATGCATGCCACTGAGCCTTTACTTTTGGTAGGTCAAACAAATCTATTTTATTCTCCTCTCACATGATGAGCCTTGTTACTCAACAAAAGAGTCGAGTCACTCTGTTCTGCACTCAGCCTTCTTTCACTTCTCTGACTAGAGCTGTGCATACCTCCTGTTTGGTCTGGTATTGTTCCAGCTCAGCCTTGCTGTCTCCAATAACAAGAGACTGTCGCTGTCCGATGAGTCGATTTTCAGTCTGTGTAAGCAAATCACAGATTTCCTGCAGTTTCTCTTTGCATTCCTGCTGCCGTTCAGCCACATCCTATATTAGAGCCAAGTACAATTGAACAATAAGACTAAAAATCCTCACTCCAGGAACCAACACTCTAATAGACATTAGAAATCTTTGAACATCAATATTGCAAAGCAGTAATTTTAAAAGTATGCTGTAAACATGATAGCAGTGGTACAAAGAGCAAGATGAACATACAGAAGTTATGGATAAACCTCAAAAATGTTGTAAGTAAAAGAGACCATGTTTGATGGAATTGCCCAATAGAAGTCTGGCCATGCACATATGTGAAGGATGAAATCTCCAAGCAACAGGAGTGAAAATCCAGTCTCTTAACCACTTGAAACCTGTGATAAACACTATTAATTCTGAAAAAAAGGACATCAAAACAGAGGTTAGTTGTCAATGTGAGTTAGCTCTTGTTGGTATGCATAACGTGTTACCTGAATAGAAACTGTGGACTTTTTAAGCAGTAGAGAAGAACAAAACATGCAAGTTCATTATTGTTACAAAGTCCTAGAAAACTTATCTGTGCCTTTCCTATAGTCAATTTTATGTTTTTTTCATAAAATACAGTAGAAAGAAATGTTCTTTTGTTTCTATGGCAAAATAATACGAGGTCTTCAGAATACTAAAGCACTTTTAATTACACATAAACAGGGGGCTGAGGTGATGATTCTGAGTCCTAACAGTGCTGCTATGGGAGAAGAGGAGGTGCTGCTACGCTGCAGCATCTTATCAGCCTCTTTTGGCCCTACAAAGGCTGCTTACACTTGCCAACTGCAGCTGTGCCAGCTGAAGACATAACTGGCCCAACTTGACTCAGTTTTCCCAGTGCCCAGGCCTAGAACTGCAAGTATCTTGGTTGATTTACTCATATGTTGTCCCTCTAACCCATCTCAGTCAAAACAATCCATGGTACACAGATTTTAAATGTGGTTCTTGGGCTATGAAGATCTAGAGAAAAGATCACATAAGCAGATGACCTAGCAAATTAATAAATGGAAAGAAAATCTTCAGCAAGACCAAAGTGTTATGCAATGGTGTGAGAGCAAATTCAGTGATCAGTATAGATCAGATCAATTACTGATATAGCTGCTGAAGAAACAACACTTGTGAGAAACATTAATTTCTCTCCTTGCTAGAAAGAACAGACCTGTTCTTAATTTAATATGCTGTTTCTGTAAGTACACTACCAAGGAAAGACAAAAGTGATGATTCACCAAATTTCATCAATACAATCTTTGTAGAACTACAAATATATCTGTAGTAAAAAGGGAAAACACAGAAATACACTCAATATTCCATGCTGGTATTAAAATTCCTCATCCACAGACAAAAACATTCAGCCCACATTTACACAGAAAGGCAAACCTTCTGATCACCCAGCTCTTGCACTGCCTGTAACTGAGTCTCTAAACTTTCCACTTGAGAAGTTATTGCTTCCTGTGCTTCCTGAAAAGATTTCTGGGTGGTATTTAAGAGCCTCAACAGCTGTTTGCTCTGATTAGGAGAAAGATCTTCAGCATGTTCAGAAATGAAGAACTGAACATCAAATGCAGTGGACTCCAGTTGCATTTTTTTACAGCTGAGCTCTGCAGCACTGTTCTGTAAATGAAGCAAAGCGAATTACTAGCAATGAAGAAAAATTGAGTACAAATAAGCCACAAGTATCCCTGCCATCTCTTCTTAGCCCCTATTCCAAAATGCTTTTAGTAGACAATTTAGCAATGGAGAATCAAAACTCAGAATCATGCTGACACATTCAGGTATGACATTAGAACTTGTGCATGGTTTGTCTCAGCTTGTGTCAAAGTAATAAAAAATGTGATCTTGTACATCTCTATTTCTTTGCATGGACGTTTGAAAACTGACTGACCTTCAACTCTAAAAGATTTATGGCAGGTTAGATATAACACTTCTAAGTTCTAGGTCTGAAGATCCAGAAATTTTAAAATATGTACTTGAAATCATTTCTATTCTTAACTCTATAGCAACAATGTCAACATTTCTAGCAATGTGGCAAATTCTTCCAATAGCAACATACCATGGAGCCCCTGTGACCATACCATTTCTCTTGAACTCTTTTTAAACATATTAAAACATCAAAAATAATTTTTATAATTGATACATATAGAAGTATAAGAACTTTCACTAAAAATTTGATCTGCTTTGTTTTCCATTACTCATTCTATGGAGTGTGTAATAAAGACACCTTATTATCTTTTCCCATCTTGTGTTCTCACATATAATTGATTTGGAAGACAAACTTCAGCAAAGATTCTGAACCCAATGCATAAAAATCCAATTTTAATCACTGAAAATATTTGTATTGTAAGTTAGATTTCTAAAAGGTTCAGATTTATTGCAACAAATGTAAATAGAACCAGAGAATAGAAGCTTTCTCAGTTAGGATTACTGAGAAACTTCTCTTGCAAGTGAAAAAGCAAATCAACAAGATTTTATTACTGGATTATCAAATTGCTGTCTTCTTAAGTAATTACTTCTAGTCATCTCTTTATTCAATAGAAGTTACTTGGAAGGCATTAAAAACCTAGCTAATAATTAATAATAAGGAGCAACTTTTGCCAGAATCATCAATACCTGCCGTAAAGAGCACTTACTTTAAATAGCTGTAAACTTTTCTTCATCTCTTCTATATCATGAGTATTCATTGTGAAGTTATTCATGATTTTATTGTTCTCTGTGATCCAGTCTGAAAATCTCTGCAGTTGGTTTAGAAGTTGCTGATGCAATCCGGCAAGCTTAGACTAGAAAGGGAAGTTGTATATTTATTTATGCTCCTGGAGTCTAGTCATGTTTTCTACCATATTAAATTGAATCATACATGTATCTTTATATTAAGATAAAATAAAGAAAAGCCGAATTCTTTTATTTTAGCCTAATTACCTTGAAGAAAATCAAGGTAAAAACATACACTGATAAAAACATACCATTTCCAAGTCAACAGCGCAGACTATTTGTTTTGCTCGTTTTGAAGATCTATCACAGACCACCAAAAATGTGCCCTGCAAAGAGTCATAGCTTATCTTTAGCTCTTTAAGTTTCTCTTCTGGAATATCCCTGTTACAAGACTTTAAGAATTCTTCTGCCAGCTTCATGTCCTTTTTTAGGATAATTGCAAAGGTAGCCAGTCCTGATTCAAATGACTACAAAGAGAATGTATAAAAAATGCATTAAGTTACTAGGAAAAACATTTATATCTGAATTGCTTTAAATACATTTTACATCTCTCTTTTTAAACCTAAGGGCTATTTCTAGCATCGATCATTGAAGTACAAGCATAAAGAACACTTACCTCTAGCTGTTCCAATTCAGCTTTTAGTATTTCCAGGCTGTTACTAATAGGCTGCTGCTTATCTAGGTGGTTTTTCATATCCTGAAGCACTGCCAAATGTTCTTGCATTTTCTCTGTCAACTTTAAACACTGCTGTACTCCATCAAACTGAAAATGAGTTTAAAAATAAGAAAAGATTTTTCCAAACTGACTTGAAAATAAGTGATTCAATTCCTTGGGTTTATTATGATTTATTTTAAACTTATAATCTAATTTTTCAACCATTTTTCCAGTTCAATTTTTCCCTCCAGCACTCAAAAAGATCCATGCAATTCCATTAACACAGGACACTGAGCACATATTCTTGTTACTTACCATGCTAGTGGGGGTGTCTCCCACAACTGCTTCTCTTGTTTTCGAAACAGGCTCAATAAAACCTTTGGACAGGCTTTCTGTCTTCCCATGCTCCTGATCACTTTTCCAAGTAGTGGCTGTGTTATCTGCCAATGTTTTGTCTTCATCAACTTCTGATCCAAGCTCTGATTGTTCTGTTGAGGAAAGAGAATGAAGCCCATCTCCTTTGCCTTTACCCTCATACTCTGTGGTGGTACCAGCAACCTGTGAGCTCATAAGCAAACCATTTATCAGCTCCTCTAATTTGCTTGTACTTTCATCTCCAAGTGAGACTTGAAAAATTTCCAGAAGTTCAGTGGTAGCAAGGTTGGGAACAGGAGCTTTCACGTCTGTTTCACACTTCCTTTCATCTGGATCAGCTGTCTTTTGCCTGCAGGATTCCTGCTTCAGAATGTCATGAAGAAGATCAGGACTTCTGCAATCAGGCCAAAGCAGTGAAGGAGCATCACTGTCCTTGGGCTCTGTACACAGCGTGGTGACCATTAATGCAGTTCTAACAGCATTGCTTATTTGCTTCAGATTTGACCCACTAGACGCCTCACTAGCAAGTTGGGTGCTTCCAACCATTTTAAGTAAATTTTGCATTAAAGTTCTGGTATCAGAGTAACTTAGAGGTTCACCTTCATGCTTGCAGTAAACATGCCCCATTTTCAATTTCCTTTGTAATATATTCCGTAAGTCTTCCATCAGTGTATCAGATACATCTGCTGACTGTGAAATACCTTCCTTTACTTGAAAATCTTTGCAGGGTCCCATTTCTTTTTGCAATGGCTCCACGGACATTTGTTTTTTGAAACCATTTCCAAGGGAGGAAGCCTCACTGACCAGGACATTTTCTCCCTTTGTGTCTTTCAGCATCTCACATTCATTCTGGGCACTGTAATTCCACTTAGTCCCTATGCTACTCAGAACTGAAGAAGCACCAGTGACGTGGGTATGTCTCCCAATAGGTAGCACTTCACCTCCATCCCCTAATTCTTTGGTATCCTCAGTACTTCCTAAAGCATCTGGTTTTGTGGGGAACATTTCACTATCATTGCTGCTTTTGTTTTCTGGAACATCTTTAAGAACATTGTCGGTATTTTGACAGTTAAGTCTCCCTGTTTCTTTAGTTACGCTAATCTCCTCTCCTTTCACTGTATCAGGTGGGGGGAAAGAGTAAGTGTTAAATTCACTTGAATGCATTTCTTCCGTATTTAGCAGAAAATCCTTTTCCTTCCGTATACCCTTTTCCCCTCTTTCCATGTCTTCAAAACAAAATTCAGTTTTATTGAGTTCTGAATGGACGCCTTCTTTTATGCACGTTGTATGTTGTTTTAAAGAAGCAGAAATGCTAACATCTCTCTTAAATTCATCTGATCTTGTACCCTGAATGTCAAGAAAAGCTTGATCAACATTTTCTTTACTTGCAACAGGAGTTTCTCTAGCAGCTTTAAGTACTGTTGCATCAAATATTTCCCCAAGGTTTTCCATCTGAATGGGACTATTACCTAGCACTATGACATCACATTCCTCTATAATATTTACTCTATTTTTACTTTCTGTAAGAATTTCAAAACCTCTCTCTATTTGACCATGCTTCACACTGGTGACTGGATGTATTGTGTCCCTAAGAGAACTATTATCACTCACATAAAGGGTATCTGTAAGGAATTTATTGTCCATTTGGGATGAACTTTCCTTTAGCTGTTCCATATAAGTTAATACTTTTTCCTCTGCAAGTAGTGTCTCTCTCTGTCTATGATTTGAATCTAACATTTGAATGGTATTATTGTCTTTATTTCTGCTATCAGTAAAGCATTCTGAGAGAATCAAATTTGTCCAGGTACTTTGGTCATCATCAGTAGCGTGCTGTAGGTAGGCTGCCACACTGATGTCAGATTTCACAGTACCATCAAGAAGCTGAGAACCTGGAACCCTAAACTGTGTTTCAGTATTTTCTTCACTCTTAGTGGATATCCATTTACTGTCAAAGGTATTTTCAGACTGAATAGGCTCAGTAGTATCTTGTGGCATGTGTTCACTTTTGACACAAGTCCCATATTCATCTTCTGTTTCCTGCTGTCTGTCTTCTTCACTGGTACATGAAAGACCAACATATCTTTCTTCAGAAATATTTGACATTGATTCACATATTACTGAGGATAGTTTTTCATTTTCATGGTTAGACTTGAATTGCAAAGTATATCCTGTCTTGTGGCCTAAAGAACAGCAGCAGTCATCAATATTCTGATTGTTTTCATTGTTCCTTTCTACATCTTCTACAGAAATTAGCAGCTGGTCACCTTCACTTATAGATTGATGATGTGAATAAAAAATATCCATTTCATCTTCACTGTCAGAATCAGTGTCAGAGTCATCATAACTATCATAATCCTCCTCGTAATCTTCCCCCTCCTGTGTACCTTCAGATTCCTCCTCACACAGATCACCTCCTGCTTTCATTTCAACATCCTCATTCCTGTCTTGTACATCATCTTCATACATATTCCTTAAATAGCTCATGCCTCCTTCCTTTCTTCCTTCACTCTCAACAGTAACTGGTAATTCTTGCTCCTTCTCTCCAAAACTTCCTGTTTTTTCCCTTTCCTCAGGGATTTTCTCCATAGTTTTGGAATTTGCAGAAGCTATAGTTATGCTTTCAGGCTGCCCTTTCACATTTACATGAACATTCTCTCCAGCATTATCTGCAAGTTCTTGAAAAGAGCTGGTCTCTTCTCTTAGGGTTATTCGACCACCTCTCTCCTCCAGAAAACCTAATGGAACTGATCTTCCAGCCAATTCTGGCTCTGGTGTACCATCATCCCCCAACTGCAAGGTATCAAACCCCTCATCACCTTCAGAAGTGTCAGAGGAATCATCATCAATTTGTGGAGTATCATAGACATCACTGTCATCATCATCATCACCCTGAGGTGTTTCATAGGCATCATCATCACCGTCATCCAACTGAGAGCTGACCTCTTCAGAGGCTGCCTCACCACATTTCTGCTGCAAGCAGTTACTCTCAAGCTGTGGGATGCCATCATCCCCCTCTATCGATGAGTCGGAACTACTGTCACACGGCAGTAACTTGTGGAATATAAGATCACTTTCTTCTTCTGTCAGCCTTTGTGCTGTGCTGTTACTGTCCCCCACGGGTGGTACATCAGGTAGGACAGTATTACCATCCAATGAAAGCCTGTGGTGCATGTCTATGCCGTCTTCTAGACACAGCTTGTTCTGAAAACCAGTACAGTCCTCCAGGGATGGCCCTCCATGGATATAAGGACAGTCCTCTAGGGATGGACCTGCATATTCCTGTAGAAGTTGCACACCATACCTATTGTCTTCAAACTTCAGTGTGACACCACACGGACTAACCAATTCTTCTGGAATTCTATATTCAGTGTCTTCACTGATGGATGAACCAAGATTTCTCTGAAAATTATCTTTTTTGCTGTTATCGTGTACCATTCTGCTACCATCAGCTCGAAATATGTGAGACCCATGTTCTGTGCACCTTTCCAGCTCCCTCCATGTTTCATTATCTGACAAATCATTCATGCTCAAGGAATTTTTTAATGTTTTATCATTCATGTTTTCATTATCTAGACTGTCTCCCACACAAATCTCTTCTTTTGCTGTTTGTGATAAAATGTTTGTATTTGAGTCATTTGGAAGACATCCTTCAATGTTTCCTGAATTTGTCTGCTGATTGTTATGCTTACAGAGTTCTGTCCACTCAGAAACCTCCAAAAAACCTCCAAGTTCATTTCTGTTCATGGAATTTTGAGTGCTGCTTACCACATTTCTGAGTTCTGCAGGGATAGTTAACAGCATCTCCTGTGTATATTCTGATTGCTCAGTACCAAGAATATTGCAAACATCTGGCCTGCACACATGGAGATCTTGTGAAGATCTGTAATTCCCAAAATCATCAAATTGATTACATTTCCTGTTATTACAAGAATTCTCAGCACCTGAAAGAGCACCCTGAACAGTGTCTGGTGACTTAAGGTGGATTCCTTTTGAGCTTACACATTTGTTACTAAACTCCATTTCTGACACACCAGCATTGTACCCAGCACTATCATCTTCCAGCAACATACTGATGACTTCTTGCAGTTGTCCATCATATAACAAAAGTCTCTGTCCAGTGTTTGCATCCATATAACTATTTACCATCAGGTAAGACATTAATAGTTTCTTAGCCTGATCTAGATTATGACATACAGGGTCTTCTGTGCCAGAATCTTCATGCTCCTCCTCACAGTCATGAAATACAGATGGCAGGAATTCATAAGTTGATAACCATTTTGCAGCATTTTTACAAGAGGATTTTAATTCTTCTACATTGGGCATTTTATCTGGTAAAGTCACATTGGTCAAAACTGATACAGTATTACTGTCTATTATTCCTGATTCTGCAGCCTTGTCAAGACTGATTATTTCACAAGTTTCTGGAATGTAAAGTGCAGCTATTTTCCTTCTATCATTCAGTATTTTGAATGCCAGTTCATTTGTAATCATATCTTGGTGCAAAGAAGTTGATACAGGGAATATTTCACCAGTGTGAGGCCAAATTAGTCCCACAAAGCCTCTCTGTGCTTCTAATACCAGCAGAGCACTGGTACATGATATTAAGTTGCATTGCACAGCTTCATCAACAGTCAAGCGTTGTCCTGAATTTTGACAAAGGATTCCACCAGTCTGAACCTGATGTGTGAGGATCCCACAAGCAGTGTCCTGATCTATCATCCCTTGTCTCATGGCCTCTTCCACAGTCACTCGTTTCCCCGAGTCAGGGTCAATGATACCTCCAGACATTAACTGAGCACCCAGCAGCCTGAACATTGTTCCCCTGTCAATGAGCCCTTCATGGGCTGCCCTCAAAACAGTTACCCTCCTTCCACATTTGAACACAATTCTCCCTTTTTCTTGTGGTTTCACAGGTAGAAGTCTTAACCCTGTTGCTTCATGTATTATGCTTCTATGAACCATCTGTTCAAGGGAAATTTTCTCAGCACAGTTGGGGTCTATGAGATCTTTACACGTATCTTGTCTTTCCAGGAGCTTTGAATATAATGTTGGAGAAATGAGATTTCTCTGGAAAGCATTCGGCAAAGACAGCTTTTCTCCAGTAGATGGCAAAATCAAATACCCACGTGAAAGCTGATTCTCAAGAATTTTAACAGCTACAGGTTCTGAAATCAGACCTTGTTCTAATGCTGAAACAACTGGAATATTTGCTAATGATGATTCTGTTATAAGCTTCTTTGCATTACTTAATTCTTGCAGCTGCAACAGAATCTGCTCATCAATTAAGGCATGGGCTTTAGCTTCTTCCAAACTATAACACACTCCTAAATCTGGAGAAATTATTCCAGAAAGAATCAGCTGATTCTCAAGCAATCTAATTCCAGTGTCATAGTCAAGAAAACCTCTTAAAATAGACTGAAAGACTGAAAGGACTTCTCCAGTTGTTTGGTCAATGACACCCGCAATGACTTTATTCACCTAAAAGGGAATATAAAAGAAAAGCTATCATCATTTTTGGACTGTATGTTTAAAATTTTCTTTTGATTTTGAATGCATGAGAAGCATAAAAACATGTACTTACCAGGCCTGGAGGAATGTTGTGAATGTTAGCAGCTCAAATGCGCAAGTGATCTATGTCAGTCATTCAACAGCACACGATGTGATAAAAGATTTAAAACCAACATGCATCTGTGAATTGAAAACCTATGCTTTGCATACATAAATAGGGTTAGTGAAAGACAATAGAAGAAATGCTTGCAGAGAGGGAAAATAGAACATATACCTGAAAAGCACATTTTCATGCTATAAATGTCTGTGAAAGGTTAGAATATTTGGAAACAGTATGTGATTCAACACAACCATGCTATTCATGTTTACAGCATACAGCATTTCTATATATACACTCAACAATATGGAATCAGATACTCTAGCACCAAATATTGCATTTAGTTTGCATGGAAAGCATGAAGTCAGTTTGGCAACATTATTTGAACTCATTACACAGACTCTGCCTCTATATGTATATGAGAATACTCACTCCATATTTAAGACTAATATTCATTAACAAATATATTCATAGTGTCTCAGAGCTAACTGTATTATGTCCTCCCATTTTCATACCCAAAAATATTTTAAGAAAAACTGAAAGTAGATCACTTTGAGGACATTTCTGAGTGATATATGGGAGAGATTAACATGTTATTTTATGGTGTCATTTTTGCAGCAGAAACACAGACTTATCTAGCAGTCAAAGAATGGCTTTTAAGAGAAGAGTTAAGAAATGAATGATTTGCTGATCTCTCTTCATGCAAGGCACACATTATTAAGACTCTTCACAAAAGAAGTCTGATGAACAGAATGAATGCTCATGTGCACAGGTAAGATCACATACAGTATTTCATAGCAAATACATAACCCCTTCAGTCAATTAAATATCAAGTTCCTTCCACACACTGTTAATTGCAGCTTCTTCTTTTGCTGATCATGTGTGGTTTGAAAACCATGCAGTAAATCTCAAGAAAAACTGAAATCTAGGTTTGAATCTTGTTACCTTTTCTTCCATCTTTTCATCACCCAGATGTGCTTCTTGCAGCTGCTTCAAAGCTTCATTGGATAACAAGCTGTAGCTTTCCTGGAGGGATCTAACTTGCTTTTCCATTTCATGTCTCTCCTCATCTGTCATTCTATTATGAAAAAAATGACCAAAGAAGGAGATCTCTGGGTAATGTGTAACTGTTTGGGAGTGATCTGCCTATCTTTACTTAAAAATGGGGAGCAGAAATGAGTACAAGTAGTCTGGAAAAAATACAGCCTAATTAGAAAGATGTTCAAGAAATCTACAATCTGATTGCAGTTATTCAGGAAAAGAAGCATTTAGCATTTGCATGGGCCTTCATCTGCTGATTACCAGTCAAGACAGGTAATATAACCAGCAAGGAACAATGAGATATCTCTTTATAACTTAAACTGTCTGTTTTCAGACACAGATGAAACAGTGTGGTGATAGGTAGTTCAAGTACTCATTTAGTACAAATTTCTTAATTACTTTGATTTAAAATGAAAATTTAAATATCTAATATTTTTAAGATGACCAGAGGTATACATACCAAGTCAAATTCTTGAAATAAACAAAATTGCATCAAGCTTCACCAATGGGAAGACTAAAAACCCCCAAACTGTATGTGAAATGCAATTAGAACTATAAGGATATGATTTCTATTTTAAGCAAACAGTATGTATTGATTCAATTAATTTTCATTATTTGAAAAATAAAAAAATGGCATACTTGTCACTGTGCTTAGCTAAAAATGACTGTGTAGTCTGCAGAGCTTCAGCTATTTGTTCTTTCTTGGTTGACATTTCATGAAGGGAAATCTGAAAAATAAATAACCTGTGTTCAAGACTTAACAATGTACATAAATAAACAAAACCCAACAAACAAACAAACAAAACCTTATTTGTATCTGGGACTAATCTCAATAATACAAGGGCTTGACATTTTTAAAAACACTGGCTATCCTTAAAGCAATATTACTTATCGGAATTGTATCATTTACATATGAGTAAGTCATTATGATATGCCTTTTGATTAAGGAAGCTGTTTTTAGAAAACTATTGGGCAACACAAAAAAATATTTCAAAATGTTATCTGATGTAAAGTTAACAAATCATTTAAATAGCTTATTATAGTTGGCACAGTTTATGGCAGCCTTAAAAAGATTGTGTATGACAGTCACGTTCAAGAAGCTGCTCACCAAAATGAGAGATAACAAATTTTTGAAAAAACAAGAAGACCACATTTGAAAAGACCATTTGAAAATCAGAAGACCACAAGCCATCATGAAATTCAATAACATAGACACATGCAATATTAGACACCTGGGAAAAAATGAATTATTAATATTCTCCACACTATCAGTTCTGTGTCATCCCCAATAAAGGACTTGTTCTGATAGAGGAACTTGTAGGAATTTAATCTTCTAACTTTGCTGAGAAACTCCCTGCAGTCTCTTCAAAGAAAAGCACTCATTTTGGATAAATAAAGGCAAATTATCAAAAGGGATTTCTACAAGCTGGAGATATTTTCAATATAGGTGCTAGGTCTCGAGCATGCTGCTTGGGCCCTTCATTCACCTGGGTCTGGACACAACCCATCTGTCCTTGTATGCATCGTATCAAAGGGCCCAAAAAGTCTCCCTCTGCAGTCACCACCAGGCAAGCCACAATCTCATCACTTGTACTGCTTGCCCAGGAACCAAGAGAACCACTGGATGCACTATGCAAGATGAGGTGAGCAGGCTGAAGTAGCAGATGGGGTCACAGGATCCAGTTTACTCAGGGAACCAGTGTCGCTGGCTGCTGTGCGCACCCTGTCACTACTGGCATCAGCTTCTCTTCCCAGTACTTGGCTGATGCCTTAAGTTTTAGCTTTCATATTTTCCAGGTTCTGTACTGCACTAGCATATAGCTCTGAACTTCATATAAAGTGTTAGCAAGTTCTCTTCACAGTTTAGTTAGACAAAACAATCTTTTTCCTGCCCAAGAACCAAGGACACTGCTGCAGCTTCAGGCCCAAAAAGTATAAACAGCAAATTGAGGAGAGAAAACTGGGAGGATGGGATTTCATACCCTGAAGCTGTAATTGGACAATTAACCCCAACATGTAAATGAAGCAAAACTTACAAAAGTGACTCATGACCTGTCATCCATCTTGGGTGTAGCCACAATTGAGCTCTTGTACTGCCCAAGGTATATCCCTTGAATGCCTTTGTAATAAATACCTACTTTATTCCCTTAACACTGCCTAGCCTCCCTTCTAGGTAGCCTCTTAAGGCATCAGGCTACACCCCACAGCAAGCCCAATCCTCTCTGTGAAATGTATTTCAGTAGATTTTAGCTATGAAATCACCAGTTTCTACGTGTTTCTACACAACTTGTCAAGGCATCATTGCTAGTCAGTGGAGACACAAACCCAGGCACCTCTGAAAGGAGCAGCTGCCTTGCCATCCATCTCCCAGGGAAGCCAAGACAGCCAACTCACAGGTTACTCATTGGAGGCTTGGGCTGGACAGAGGAGATGCCACCCACAGTTGTTGTGGTAAGCTGAAATGTCCTAAAGAGCTGAGGCTGGCCCAGGTCTGATAAAGGTTTGCAGTGTAGTCGTTAACAAGGGCAGAAGAGGACCAGAATTGAATACTTTTGCAAATCCTGATTTTAGCTATGAGCAATTTACCAATCAGTACGTTCAAATCAGTAGAAGCTTACTTCCTCCTCTACAGGGACAAACTCAGAGCTAGCACTGGTCCTCTCTGAACAAACTACATGCTGGAACAGCGGTCATCTGGACTGCCAACCTTCCCAACAGCAAGCTGGATTTAGGCTCACAGTGGTCCAGTGGCTCTGGCACCAGAAAGCATCACCAAAATAAAAACATAGGAACAGCATGGCAAGAGGGCCAAAATCATGTTTGCTAGATGACACATCCAGCCCTGTACTGAGGGCTGTGGACAAAACACTGCTCTGTCCCTCTGCTGCTCAGGGTGCAGGTAAGCCCTCACCTACTGAAAACCTTTTGTAACTAAGCTATTCCATGGGGCAAGCCCTGCAGAGGAGGTCCTAGAAATGACAGGAAACTTCACAGATGGAAATTTATGGTCTGAGTTACAACTGTACACAGTGACACTCCAACAACCTGTGGCCTCAGTCAACACCTGCTGTACTTCCTAGGACAGCAGTTTTGACTATCCCTCAAGAGGCCTCCTCAGCTTAACTTTTCAAAAGCAAATAAATTGAAACTTGGCCCCCAAGCCCCTGCTACCAACTTTCTCCTTCCTGGTGCCCAAAATGCCATCCTGACAGGATGCACTCTCCCTCTACAAAGGCTGAGATGTGGTGTGCAGGGTTCAGTTTCACTGCTATTTTGCAGTGTCAGAATATGTGACATGCTAGGTCTGTAAAAAGCAGTGGGAGCTTCTTCTTAAGTAACATGCTTGTGTCCCTAAACATTGATGTTTATTTACCCAGCCCTCTACTCACAACCAAATGTGAAATTATGTTCTGAGGAAAATGTGGATGGTGATTTGTAGTGGGAAAAAAAAGTATTTATGGATTATTTTGGCATTTTAATCCATGCAAAAACCTAAAAAGAGGAAGTGGTGCTTTATCAAAAGACATGTGTGTACCTGCTGCTTAGGTAAATCTGTCTTTTCAGCCTTTTCTCCTTCTTCTTTGCTGAGTGTCTTGCTGAGGTTTGACACCCATTTCAGTAAATCCCCAGCTTTCTCAACATGTTCCTTCTTTTCCTCTTCCATTGATTTCTGATGAGTGCCATGAATTGTAAAGAAACATGTAAATGTAAATTGTTGAAATGTGCAACATTAATGTCTGTAGAAACAAAATTCTATCACAATTATTATTATCACCACATAAATATAAAATTATTTCTTTTTTATTTCCCACCACATGCATTACTATTACACTTTGATGTAGGAACAAAAATGCCACATAATTATAAACAAGAACAAAATAATATCTCGAGTGATTTTTAATTATGATAAAGGTGCTTATTCATACACACATACAATCATCATAAAATGATTGATAGCAAGAAAAAGCATAGCTTCCCAGCCATTACTCAGCAGATAAAATCTAAAAAGCATTTGCATATAAAGTATCCTTGAATTGCTGCCTTTGCATTACCCTCAAGTAAGGACATGTACAACCAGCATAGCAGAACAGTACTTTGCACCTTATGCACATGGATTACCAAAGTAAAATTAGGAAGAATACATTGCTTTTATGTCTACAGAAACAAGAAAAAATAAAATACTGAGACAATCTTTTTCTGCACAGGAAAACATACTCCTTTTCTTACAAGTACAATCTGATTGGTAGACATTTATCAATACTGAGAAAACCTACTTAAGCCCTGCCATGTACCATAAGTAAAAATGAAAACATTTTATTTCAATGTATTTTTCTCAAAATTTGGTATGTAATTGTAATTCATTTGCCTTTTAGAGAAGAAAACAATTTAAGGGAAAAAAACCCCATGAAATAAGATAAAAACTCAGGACTCAAGAAACACAACTTTTTGGTGTAAGCAGCCCATTAAAATTAATGAAATACCAGTATGAGAAAAAGTACTGATGCATGTGTGCTTATGGCACCGCAGATTTAATCCTTTATATTTAATATTTAATCCAATATATTTTATTGTCACTCTTGTAAAACAAATGGTATCTGCAGACTCATTTGTAATTTTAATTTAAGTAACAGGTCACATGAAACACTACACTGTGTTCACTCACAAAATGGGCAATCCCTTTAAATCTTTAATGTAAGAATATGATTCTTGTCTCACCTAAATCTATCCACTTTGAAATAATATTAACAAACCTCAGTATAATTTCTCATTAACACTACCTACATGTAAGGTAATGACAGACAAGGCCTTCAGGTAAAGACTGAACACAAACATTGCATTTTGAAATTACGAACCTGCCTATCTATAAATTTCAGTTTTGCAATAAGTAATATCTAATTCCACTTTCAGTGGTTTATGCTAATTAGTTGTTCATAACAATTAGTTTCACAGCAACTAATTAATGGTAGAAAACATCACTTGTGATTTTAAAGGCTATCACAGATATTTTCCTTAACTTTAACAGGTTTTAATGCAGAGCCCAAAATGAGTACTAATATCTTTTGTCCACTATGAATTATAGTAAAGACTGGAAATTCCCGTTTTCATGGGCTGAGCTGCTTCTAACAACCGCAGCCCAGTGTGGCAATCAAAAACAGCTCTATCTAAAGCTTCTTTGTAGGTTATCTTCTTCTTAGTTTTAGGGCATGTTAAAACTTTAATGTGCAATTTTTCGTCCTTCATCTTTGTAGCTGTGATAGCATCAATAATACCATTCCTAATTGCATCTTCCATTGTTAATCTGGAATGAGATTTTGGATCTATCAAGCCACCAGTCAAGTACTGATACTCCAGGCAGCGCATGCCCATTTCCTTGTCTATGGCACTTAAATGCACAGCTTCAACAGCTGACATAACAGTGTTCCTTACAGGATGAATGATCCCAGTAAAGATCAGCTCACACTGCTGGATTTGCTTGGCACAACCATCATCAATTAACTCCCTTTGCAAAGCTTCTGAAACACTGTACTTTTTCCCTGTAAATGGGTCAATTACACCACCTGTACTAACCTGAGCTTCAAGACATCGGAGGGCAGTAACTCTGTCTACCAAATTTTTGCGTGAGGCTTTCAAGACTGGAATTCTTTCATTGGTCTCAGAAAGCCAGAACCCTGCAATAGGACTGTTTAAATCTTTATGTGGCTGTGAACTGCTAACTAAAATATCACCGAACTCATTAACTGTGATGAGGCCCTCCTTATATTTGTTGACTAATGCTCTGTCAATTCTACCCTGATTTAAGGTCTCCTCAATATTAAACTGTACACCTGTTTTAAGATCTGTAAGCAAAAGGAAAGAATTTCCATCAGAGTCAAAACACGTAGACTCCTTCCAATCAAACTCCTGTTTTGAAAGCTCAAGATATGTAGCTTTATCTATGTAATTTTTTTTATAAGCCTCATATGAAGTCATTTCAGTTCCTGTGTCAACATTTATTACAGAAGATTTATGACTTTTCTCTGCTGATGGGCTGCTTATTTTCCTTTCACCAACTGGAAGCAGAAAGCATTTACTGCTTACACTGAACAAACACATTTTCAGCAAATCACAGTAGTACATAGCTTTCCTGCTATTTGGATTGTGAAAACATTTTGCATTACTTGAAGGTTCATGCAAAAATTTTAAAATTGTGTTATTAAGCAAGCCAAGCTGCACGGCGGCTTCTGGAGGTACACGAACACTTCTTACAGGATCAATAACCCCTCCACATGCAATTTGAGCCTCAAGGATATTTTTACCTTTTTGTCTTTCTAAAAGTTGAGCTTCCACAGCCTGAAATACAGACAGCACTTTCCCAGAACAGCAATAACCCAAAACGGCTTTCTCTGCCTCAAGCAGTCTACTCTTGAATTCACTATCTGCAAGACCTCTAACAACTGAATCATCAACAGAGAATTTCTGACCTGTTGTGGGATCAATAATGAAACCAGTAGCTGCTTGGGCCTCTAAAAATGCTAAGGCCAGTGCTTTTGCTATGATTTTTCTCTTTGCTGCTAAAGCAAAAGAGAGTATTTCTTTGCTGGATTCAAGGTACAGCCCAGCTATAGCTGTAGGTTTAGTTAAAAATTTTTCAAGACTTTTCTGAACCTCATCAACAGCTTTTTGCCCTGAAATGAGCTGTTCAACAGTGACCCTGTCTAAAAGTTTAACTTCAGTCAACTGCCTGGCAGTTACATCATGTCGGAGACCTTGAAATTTAATAGTGTCATATTCCTCTGTAAAATATTCCAGCTGAGTAGCGTCATCAACAGTTCTCAAAATCTCTTCTCCTAAGAAAGAGCTCATCTTTGCAAAGTCTTCTTTCCTAAACCCTTCGGAAGTTTTGTATCCCTGAAACATTCTCTCTTCATAACCAAAAGTCTTGTTAGTTTCTTGGTTTAATGTTGTGACTTCAACATGCATGTCATAGTGCTTGTTCTTCGCTATCTGTAAATAGGAAGTTTTTGACACAGTGAGAAATACAACTGCAGACTATGCTGCACATAATTCACTCCTAAATCCACCACCAGAGAAACCAAAGGAAGAACTTGAATGCAAGTCAGAAAGGAGAACTGCTACTAGGACTGGTGAGCAGAGATATATAAAGAGCTTGAGTTTTGAAGTGCAATTGCCATTTCAAATATTTATTCAATAACAGGAATACGACTAGACTAAACATCAGTAACTGTTGTTCGTTATTATATGAGCTTACTGCTGTTAATCAAAGCTTACTTTGACCAATAAAGATAAAACAGTGTATGTGAATTCCTATTTTCAATACAAATTTCCAAAATAACCTTTCTTAGGCATTAACAAACCTGGCAGTACAGTCTAATATAAAGCCTTTTGTGTTATGTAAGACAGAAGGGGTTCCCTTCACCAAGGTAGGAACATAAGAAATATTAAACAGAATAGTAATAAAGCATTACCAAAACCAACCAACCAGATGGACTAGTAACAAGCACCATTAGGAAGGCAAACCCTCACAAAATGTAGTGTGTACCTCCAAGGGATGCAGTTTTACCACTCCTAATTCATGTTTTGTGTCTTCTCCGTGTCTAACGGCTTGTCTGGAACTGTGTAGGTTCCTCAGTGTGTCCCTTTCAGATGTTCCAGAGATTTGGCTTGCTTTATCAAAAGTTATCTGGAATTGTGTACTCATCTGAGAAACAAACTCCGTAAAAGACTGGGAACTTGAATCTTCTAATGATTGGTTTACGCTTGACATCTGGAACTGCACCTCTCTTGGTATCGTATCACCAGCACTCACATACAATGTATTTTCTTCTATTTGATCAGATTTAAAACCTGATCTTTCCTGTTTCTGCCTTAACAAAGGTGAGCTTGGTTTTGTACGTGGAGGAAGCTGTTCAAATTCTTTAGCTGCAGCCTCACTTGGGTAATTGAAATCATTCCCTCTTCTCTCACAGCTCAATTTAAATCCAGAATCTTGGAGCTTATTATTTTGCTGAACTTCGTTCTGAAATGAAAGAAATCTGTGTTCACTCTCCCTGACCTGCAGATCTATCTTCTGTTTCAAGCTCTCAACCATGCGCTTCTGTGCTTCCAATTCTTCCTCGAGTTTCCTGCACTTCTGGTGATAGTCCATTTCAGCTTGCTTCCCTTGCTGAAGTTGTTCGTGACATTTTTTAAGCCTTTCTTGAAGATCTTCCATTTGCCTCTTGTACAACATGATGTTTTCCTCAGCCATATGCTTCTCTTGCTGAAGAGCAACACATTCTAGTTTTATACCAGATATGTCCTTTTCTGTGATGCTATGGGATTCCAGTAATTTTTCAACTTTTTTCCTAAATTCCTCTGCAGAGTGTTTAAACTTAATGGATTCTTCCTGAAACAGAATCATCTTCTTGCGTGCCATCTGTTCATCCAGAGTCTTCTGATGGAGTTCATCCTGCAATTTTTTAAATTTGCTACTTAGTTCTTGTATATGAGCTTGTTGTAGTGCTATCTTCTGCTCATTCATTCTCTTTTCCACAGTTAGAGCATTCATCTGCGCATTTAAATTTTTAATCTCCCGGTCAATGCTAAGGGTGGAAGCATTTTGCTTATCACATTTTTGTTTATAGTCACTAGCTAAGTCCTTAGTTTTTGCAAGATCAGCTTCTAGGCTTT